GTTCACACCTCTCATTGAGTTTGTATACATACTGAAGGAGCACATATGTAAGAGGATCGTTTATAATTAAATTTTGGGAATGATTCATGTTCTTATATAGCTGCATTGTTTTATGCTTTCTGGATGCCCCATTATATTGTAAAGTAGTTATGTTCTGTGTTATAAATCAAGCACTGTTAGGAGTTGTTTCTTTTTGTTTTCCCATGAATTTCTTATCAATACAAAATTCAAGGTAGCATGAACAACACATTTTTATTCTAAATATATAAAAAAAGTAAAAAAAAATGTCCAGTAGCACCTTAGAGACCAACTAAGTTTGTTCTGGGTATAAGCTTTCGTGTGCATGTACACTTCTTCAGATACTCTGAAACAGAAGTCACCAGACCCTTATATATAGTGGGAGGGCAGGGTGGGGTTTTTCTCAGGAGGGTAGTAGGAGATGGGTGATGGACTAAATGGGTATGGTAAACCTGTTTACCATCTGCATTTTTATTCTACATTTTTATTCTGAAAGTGTGGCCCAGAGGGGGAAAAAATGAGAACCATTGGTGTAGACAATGCTGAGCTAAATGGACCAAGTTGCAGAATACAGCTTTTCCCAGTGGAAAATGTGAGTTATCATAAAGTTGGATTTTGTGTCTTCCTTATTTGCTTAAACTAAAAGTATGTACTCTCCTGCCCTGATTTGCATATGTCACTGAAAAGCATGTAAAAGTCCCCTATCAGATATGGCAATATAACCTCAGATGAACGTAGAAAACAATAGACTTCTGGTCAAAGAGTGTGATGAGGTGTGTCCCCCCCCCCTTTTTTTTGCTCATTTCTGTAAAGGGTACAGATTTGATGGAGCTATCTAAATGATTTGTGCCATATTGATTTGTGGTATGGTGATTTTCAGCAGTGAATTCTAGTCTGCGATTCACATTTGTGCAGTCCTTAACTGAGAGAGGGGTGGCGGTGGGTAGGAGAGAGGGCAATACAGTTAGCAAGGTAATATACAACTGGCTCAAACTATCACAGTCTTCTAAATAATAACAACCAAATGCATTTAAGTATTATTATTTTTTAAGTTATGGTGAAATTACATTTGTTGTGCCAGTTCCTGCCTGCGGTGGTGCAGGCACGGAGGGGAAGATGTGTTCATTTGTTGCTTGTTTTGATTGATTATAATAGCATTTGATATGATATGGTAGGTACATGATATTTGTTAGAGGCATTGTAAGCTGTAGATTATTCATCAACATTTTTCTAGAAAACTGAAAAGAGCTACAACATGAATAATGAGCTCTGGCTGTTTTCTTTGTGTACCAGCCATTTCCTTAATTAGGTTTCAAGCTTCATCTCCTTCATTTTTAACTAAAAGTGTGTGATAAAAGGAAAAGGAAAGCCTCTGCATCTGTGCTCATAAGTGTGTGTGTGTGTGTGTGTGTGTGCGTGCGCAAACTGAATTGAGAAGCAGCTAGTGTTTTCTAGTGTCACAGTTACGGAAAGGACTCTATAAGTGGCATTCTTAGTTCATTATTTGCAAGTGCCATATATTGTTGTCAAAGGCGACTGCTGCGCATAGATGGGAACACAAAACAGGGCCTGGAGTGCATGGATTCTGGATCTGAATATTATATGCACCCCAGCATTTCCATTTTGAACAATGGAAGGATGACTGATATAATTTAATATGTGGATATAAATATGAACATAAGACAATCCTCTGCTGGATCAGGTTGGTGGCCCAGCTAGTCTAGCATCCTGTTCTCACAGTGGGCAGCCAGTTCTTCTCTGGATCAGGATAATTATGTGGACCCATTTCATTAGGCCTGACTGAATTCTGTGTTTTTTCCACAGTGAAATATAAATGGATACATAATAGGCTTACACTGATCAGGTTTGAAAAAGGGTGTGTATGTTAAAAAGTCCTATTAAATTAAAATGTAATTAAAATTTAAGTCTTCAGCATACATAGTGACAAAAAAGATTCTAGATTCAGGTAGGTAGCCGTGTTGGTGTGATGCAGTTAAAATATATAAAAAATTAAAAAATAGTCCAGTAGCACCTTAGATACCAACTAAGATTGTTCATCGCATGCACACGAAAGCTTATACCAAGAACAAACTTACTTTTTATTTATTTTTTTACTTTTTATTTTTTTTTACTTTTTAAATTTTTTATATATATTTCAAAATAGATGCTGTACGAGATAAAAACCTCCTGATTTAATAAAAATAGCAAACAGCTCTCTTGAACTAGAAGCATTATGGAGGCTGCTTTACCCTTTCCCTTCTGACCATTTTCTGTTCAAACTCACTGTTCCCCAGTTGCTTTTCCCCAGGGTGGAAAAAGCAACTAGACTGCAATTTTAAGTTAAGGAAATCCAAAAGGGGAAGAGTTAACTAGCCCCTCCACGCTGTTCCTTTAACCTAAGCTGCAATCTCCTAAACTGCGCTCAATTAAACAAAAAGTTGGGGTACTATTATACCAGCTTGCCATGTAATGTCTAGTTTGGACAAGCCGTTCAGCTCCCATAGAACAGACTAAAACGAATGAAACTGATGAAAACATACAAATTCTCTCTCCTTCCCCACTCATGCTTCCTGCTAATAACTCCAGGGGCCGCATTTGACACACGCACCCACTTTGTCCAATGGATGTGGATCCATTGGTGGCAGAAGTGTTCAAGAATGTGACAAAATGCAGGCAAGAGGTCAATGCTCTGTCCTTGACAAGAAGCAGAGTAGTGCCAGGAGTGAAATAAAGCCAATGTGAGAGTGGAAGTAAATGGCCCGCGTTATCCAGAAAGGGAAGTTTTAGGAGGACGTTATTCAAAGAGATAAGCAAGCGTAGACCCTATTAAACTTCACAGCCATGATGAGTTTTGAGCTGAGGGAAATATATGCGGTCAGTGCCCCCGGCTTCTGCTGAAGCTAAACTTTCGGTTTAGTTTATGGCTAAGCCATCTCTTCCTTTTGCTTCTGAAATACTTTTGAATAGCAGCATTTATCCAAGAGAGAGAGAGAAACACCCAGTGATATACTGATCTATGCGATAAGCTCTATGGCAGACACTCCAGAGCACTGTGGAAAATGCAAATATTTGGTGGCTTCTCAGTCTGAGCAATCTGGTGGGGAGGATCTCAAATGCTTCCTGGGGGCCCCTCTGGTCTGCCTTAAGATGCCAAGCGCTAATGACTGGCCTGGCCAACATTATCCCTCCTTCTTTTTCCCTTTACCTGTCTTCCCTACTCTCAAGTGTTAGAGTCAAAGTACCACTGTGCAAGGAGATGCCTCCCCCCCCCCGTTTATTCAGCTGTCTGTATCACCCTCCCTTTAGCAATGTTGCTAAAGGTAGGCAGCAGCAGAATAGGACTCAAGAAGATAAAAGCACCACTGCCAGCAGGTGAAGACTTTTTTGTTCCAACAGGCTTTTGGGAACTGATGGTTTTTAACAAAAGGGTGAGCTCCCGTTGCTTGGTCCCTGCTCCTGCCAACCTAGCAGTTTGAAAGCATGTCAAAGTGCAAGTAGATAAATAGGTACTGCTCCGGCGGGAAGGTAAACGGCGTTTCCGTGCGCTTCTCTGGTTCGCCAGAAGCGGCTTAGTCATGCTGGCCACATGACCTGGAAGCTGTATGCCAGCTCCCTCGGCCAATAAAGCGAGATGAGCGCTGCAACCCCAGAGTTGTTCGCGACTGGACCTAATGGTCAGGGGTCCCTTTACCTTTACCTTTAATGAAAGGGTTGGTGCCATGCTGTTTTTATTGCAGTTATTTGTATGATTTTAACAGAATCTCTTTCTCTCTCTCTGGTTTTAATTCTATCAATGTTTAATTGTTTTTTAACCACTTGGCAGAGAGTGGGGTTGGCAACATCTGTAACAGTATGCACCCTAAGGATAGATGAAGGTGAAGTTGTGCCATCCCCACTGCGTTACAATCGTCATGGAAAGGCTAATATAGATCTCATTGTACTCAAGTGTTAAAAACTAATTAGTCCCTTTGAGACTGGGAAATGCATCTAGTTCCTGGGTTGCCATCCCACTACCTCTAAACCATTGCCCAAAGAGTGGTGGCACTGAACAGCTGACAATGAGTATTTCAGTACTGTCTCATTTCCTGTGAATGATCTCATGTTGTCCACTGTTTTAAGGCACATGGTTGACTGATTTGTCTGATATAGAGAGGCAATAGTTTGTTGATGTGTTTTGCATTTCTGTCTGGATACTGGAAGAAACCTGTTCAGAGTTCCCTAGTAACTGCTGCTGATTCACTCCTTATCTTCCTTGTCCTCACTTTTTCTCTAATTGATTTCAATATAGTGAGATGCTGGCAACCTCAGTGATTACAGCTCTTTTGTTTCTTTCTTGGAACATTGCTGATAGCAGGGCAGTTATCTTCATTCCAGAGTAGGAGTCATCTCCACAAAGCTACCTGCTCTGAAAGGAGTGACATTTTAGGAAATGGCCTAACACGGTGGAATCTGTGAGCAGAGGAACATTTTCATGTAGGAAGTGATATTGACTTAATAGGTTAGGGAATGAGTGAGCACGGAGACTTAATGCAGGGATGTTATGTCCTATAGTGATGTTTGGCCTTATACATCTGTTTAAAAAGCAAACAAATAGCTGTTGTGAGAAGCTCTCAACTGGATCCAGACCAGGGTATGGGTAGATCTTTCACCCTACAGTGGTACCTTGGGTTAAGTACTTAATTCGTTCTGGAGGTCCGTTCTTAACCTGAAACTGTTCTTAACCTGAAGCACCACTTTAGCTAATGGGGCCTCCCACTGCTGTTGCGCCGCCGGAGCACGATTTTTGTTCTCATCCTGAAGCAAAGTTCTTAACCCGAGGTACTATTTCTGGGTGAGTGGAGTCTGTAACCTGAAGCGTATGTAACCCGAGGTACCACTGTATTATGAATGACATCCCCATGCCAAAATACTATGCCCCGTAACACACCAGCTTTTTAATAATAAAAATAAAAATAAATATCAGTCTCATAAGGCAAAGCCACATGGCAATCATCAAAGTGAGTTCTCAGTGGGGTATGTGGACATTTTGGAGACCTAAAACATGGAGAGCAGGGGACGAGGAGGAGGATCTCTACCAATGGCTCAAAAAACAGCAGGGTTTTTGTTTAAACCCCCTTGCCTATTCCCTGAACAAGCAGTCCCATGTTGTGTTTACTTGCATCCTTATGCTGCTGGGAAATAGCCCCAGCAAAAGAGCGCCACATGGGTGTGGGAATTGTGTGGGATGATCAGGAATTAAATAGAAAGAACCACCTGTGACTCTAAATCATCCCACCTGCCAGTTCTGTGCAAAACTTTGCTGCCAAAACAATTGAGGAGGGTGGGGGGATGAGCTTTCAGTATGGGTACCAGTTGAACTCACTTTCTTCCTCTCCCATACCATATGGAGATACATACCCCAAATTCACATTGTTGACCCCCTTCTCACTTCATATGGCAATCAGTTGCTGTGACTGTCTCAGTGTTAACACCACTTTGGAGTGGGTATAATGTGCTGGGCCCGGGGGCAACCTGAGCAACGTGGTCCAGGTCCGGTCCCGAATCCAAGGGTTCCATGAGGAGTCAGTCCGACAGGACCTAGGCAGGAAACCAGGCAGGGTCAGGCACAGGGTCTCAGGCAGGTTCTAGCAAACAGCAACATTGCTCCCGCAACCTGGGGCGGGGTCTGACAGCCTTTTATCTTTGTCGGGGTAACGGCCGGTCCTGATCCCCCAGTCACTCACCTCCCTGCCTTGTCCGTAGGCGAGCACTCCTCCTGCGAGTACTCAGGTCTCTCCTTCTCTCAGACCTTAGTCTCTGCAGCTCGGGAGATGTTGGTGGGTTACTAGACCCAGAGGCCGCCTCAGCCTCTCTGACCCAACTGGTAGTGGAACAGCTGTAAGTGATTGCCCAGCTGAAGGCAACGAGGTAATCCCCATCTGGAGCTAGGGCAGGCTCAGGCCCCTGACTCGGCCCAGCTGGTGCTTGTTGCAGGGGTACCTGTGCAGGCTGGGGCTCTTCAGAATCAGGCCCCAGACCTGGTTCCGATGCTGCCTGAGGCAAAGGATCTGGTGCGGACTGAGACTCCTCTGGTTCCGAGCCTGAGCCCCAGGCCATCACATATGCAAAGCAGAAGCAGCTGGAGTGGTGGAGCTGAGGTGCTATCCTAGCTTCCTGGCAGGTGCGTCACTGTTGTTTACCATAAGAGGAAGAGGGAAGTTGATGGGGAGGTTGTCGTGGTGCAAATGCACAGGCAGGGGCACCAGATTGGTTCTGCCTCCTCCTAGCTCCCGGTAAGCAACAGCAACAACCTTCCAGGAAGCTAGCATAGTGATGTTATCCCAGCCCTTTGCAATCCACTTCTGGTGCAAAGCATGACGGGCAGACACAAGTTCCTATACAGGGAGTTATAGTTTAATACAACTGCTGTGTGTAGGGCCCAGTTGTTGAGAATGGAACCTGCCCTTCATATGCCACATGTTTAGTGTGAGAATCCTAGAAGTAACCCAGTAATGGTGCTCACATGCACGGCTGCCATGCAGAGAGATAAGTTGCTCTGACTTGTGGGGATCTTGCGGGGAGCTTTCCCATATTATTTGTTGCAAAGTTTTTAAATGCCTTATTTAGGAAACTTTTTTTAAAAATGCACAGGAAAAGCAATATAGAAAAACTTTAAGGAAAAGCATCTATTCTGAGGAATGGGGAAACATGTTAGGCATCAGAATGCCATCAACTATAGCACTGTGTAGCAGTAGTGGGAAGCATAATAAAACTAATTATCTTTGAGGGTTTTCTCTCTTTTCTTTTTTCTTTTTGCATGCTGTTGGAAATTATCATATAAAATACCTCTACTACAAAAACAAAGAATTTGTGTATCTAATTAAAGTGGCTATTGTTCTATTCTAGCTGTCATTCTTGGCAAACTTACCATACTCTGGAACCGCATACTCTGAGATTGAAAGTGAGCATAGGAACGCCTGCTTGCTTGGGGCTTCATCAGAGCTTCACCCCAGGGTCACAGTGAACGTAGGATGGTGGTACATATGGCCCTGTCTAATTAATAGGGCATTTCCCAGGTCACTCTCACAAGGTAACACACTGAAAATCACTGATGGGTAAAATAAACTATCAATTTCATACATCCTATACTGTCTCAGCATCATTTCATGGGGCAATTAATGCAAAAGCAATTACATATCTATGCACCGTCACAAAACATGTCTTATATTTTTCTGCTATGCCAATCCCCCCCCCTACACACAGAGATCACTTAAGAGTAGCAGATAGCATCTTTTAATTGGATTAGACTTGGAGTGACTGGCTGTGTACACACCATATATTTGAAGCATATGACTTCCCCCAAAGATTACTGGGAACTGTAGTCTGTTAAGAGTGTCAGGAACTGTAACTCTGTGAGGGGAAACTGCAGTTCCTACAATTCTTTTGTTGTTGTTGCGGGAGGGGTAGTAAATGTGCTTGAATACGTGTGGTGTGTATGCAGCCTCAGTCCAATCATACAGGCCCTCTCTCTTGCCAGCCTCCACACTTCAGAGGCTGGGGTGGAACCACTGCACAAGGGCCTCCTTCTGCAAGGGGCCCTCTTGTGTCCAAACACACTCCTTGTTGTTTCACCTGATTCACCTTGCTCAACAAGAAAAGCCTTGGTCCAAAAAAGTGCCTGGAGTTTGTGGATTGAAGAGAAGGGGGGAACATGAAACTTTGTCCTCAGTGATGCATTGCTCGCACGCTCCTTCCATCGCATCTTTGGTTTCTTAAGCATCCAGACCAAACTGTTAGACAGTAAATTTTGTTGGCATCCCTGCCCCCCCCCCCCAATCTATTAAAATCAATGTAACGCTTACACCTCTGGTGATTTGGAGATGTGAAAGGGTTCCACATGGCGATTAGAAATGTTCCAGTATGAACTCTTTCTTTTTCTTTGCACCACTAGAGTTTTCCTACTTACTTCATCTCCTTCCCAGCTCCGACAGCCCCCTCGCCAATCCAGGAGTCTGTCCTCCAACTGCATAGCCACTTATTAGCAGCCCCAGGTTCTGTTATTGCCACTTATTGTATCCAAGCATAGTGTGTGATGTCAATACGCAGAGCCTGCTCCCCTTGCCTTGCCTTCACACACACAAAAAGGACACACATCACAGGAAGCCTATAGAGCTGCCTGGTGGCTCAACGCAGTGTTTTTGAATTAGCTGTAACCTCAGACCAGACTGTGACCAGGAGATGATCTTAGGCCATGCATGGGTAGGTACTGGTATGTATGTAGGTATGTATAAATGTAAGAAAAGTGAAAAGACAACAATTTGTTTGGATATCAGAGGCACATTAGCAACCGATCTATGCATTCTTTTCCACTGCTCAGTTTTGGACTCTAAAGAATTCATTACGGCAGAGTTCCAAGCCTGTCGACAAAAGCTTTTGGCTCTGGACCTAGAAAACCACATTAACAGCTGCAGATTGTATTAGTTTTAAGCTTATTATGACTTTGCAGACTCATTTATCGATTACTTTTGATTGTCAGGACATCCCAAATATAGAATTAAACAACCTTCAGAGAAGCCAATTAAGTTTTGTAATAGTTGCTGCCAACTTTTCCTTGCCAAAATGGGTTGCTGACAATACGTTGGTGGCAGATTAAGCTGAACCGAGGCAACGTGCTGGTTCACATTTAACACCAAACCATGACTCAGATGCTCTCTCTGCATCCCTTCCTCCTCTCCTCCCATGCTTCAGTTTCCTCTGTGACTTCCTGGTTCTTGTCATTTGTGCTTGCCCTCCAAATCAGAATCAGAAACAACAGCCAAACTGTGGCTTTGAATTTCAATATGGAGGACAAGTGCAAAGTATAATTTGTGTTGTGTGAATGTGGGCCTGATTCAGCTAATGAGCCTCGCTACTGGAAGCCTGCACAGGGACTTCTGCTAGCGCAGTGGGGATTTCCCCCTTCCTCCCCCCCATGTAAAACTGTCCCAGCGGGTGGCGCTGTAGTCTAAATCACAGCCTTTTGGGCTTGCCGATCGGAAGTTCAGCGGTTTGAATCCGCTTGACGGGTGAGCTCCTGTTGCTCTGTCTCAGCTTCTGCCAACTTAGCAGTTCAAAAGCATGCCAGTGCAAGTAGCTAAGTAGGTACTGCTGTGGTGGGAAGGTAAATGGTGTTTCTGTGTGCTCTGGCACTCGTTGTGGTCCTTTGCTGGCCACATCATCCAGAAAGCTGTCTGTGGACAAACACCGCCTCCCCCGGCCTGAAAAGAGAGATGAGCACTGAACCCCCTAGTCGCCTTTGACTGGACTTAACCATCCAGAGGTCCTTTCCCTTTACCAAACTTGTCCCCAATATTGGCTTATGCGCAGCGATGGGGCATTGGGACAATCCCTTGAACAGTCCACTGCGGGGCGATGGGAGGGGGATTTCTCCTTCTGGAAATCTGAAATGTTTCCGTTGACAGAATGATTGCCATAGCACTTTGCTGAATTCCTCTCTGGGAAATCAGGGAGAAAATCAAAGCAAAGGAAGGATGGGTGCAATCCTATAACATGTTCCTGGTTTGTAGATAACTCTGGCTTGGGGATGAATTAATTATGATCCAGTTAAAAAGTTGACAGCTACTTCCAATTTAGCAACCTCTAAATTCAGTGGGTTCCCATAATTTCTCATCACCTCTAGATACTAGAATAGCTTTACTTGATGCAGCACCACCAATGTTTCTTCATGCATCAGTATTGCCAGCTAATGGGTAACATCCACCTGTGTTTTTCCACTATCAGAATAGACTTCCACTCATGCAATAGGACTTCCTCTTCCTCCCCCCCCTCCAAAGCTCTTGTGCTGGGGGTTGAGGCTCCAAAGTAGATTTTGGAGTGCTGCAGCATGGAGAAGAAGAAGGGAACACCAACTGTGTGAGTGGAAGCCCACTAATGTGATGTTGGATATCACCCATACTAAAGGAAATAACTCATTTACTTGCCATAACCTCCAACGTCTAGCCTTCAGTAACGCCAAAAACTACAGGCTTATAAAATACAGTACAGAGCTTTTTGGAATGATTTTGTGGTGGTTTTATATGTTGTCATAATTTATTTATTTTTTCATTTCATTTGATTTTTTCATTTTTGTTTTATGAAGCTGTTGTGTGCTGGCAGGGAAAGCTGCTTATTCTTGAAGGCGGTATAATAAGCAAACAAATAAAGGGTATAAATCCAGTTCCACATACCCCAAATCAAATATAATCAAGCATGAAATTGAGTATAGTTTATGCCTTGTATATTTACAATTAAGCAATGGGCAAGAACCATATATCTAGGTAGAGAAAGCTCAAATTAGATTAGCATGTTGCCAACATTGCCCCCCCCCATAACTCTGCTAAAGAGATAAGTTTGATGTGGTATTTCAGCTGCCGTACCAACTTCATTTGATGAGGGAGGGGTTATCAGTGCAAGCAGGAATGCTGCTCAGCAGTTGTGCCTTAGCAACATTTCCTTCCCATTTTTTCACCCAAACATGCTAAGTAACCCCATCAGAGCTTCCAGATCAATATAGTTGACTATGGGAGGCTAGCACACACAGGAATGGTCCCTAACCACCTGCTTTTGCTGTGATTCACTGTTCAGGGATAATGCCAGATCAGGACTCAGTTGGTTAGAGCGTGGCGCTGATAACACCAAGGTTGCAGGTTTGATCCTCATACGGGACATTTCTGCACTTCCAGCTCTAGGATTCTATGACTATAGTTGTAGGAGACTAGAAACCTTCCTCTTTCTGTGTTCTGCTTGCTGTAGAAGTGTCAGTGGTTATCTTTTGGGCATAGTGGGTTCTTCTGGTGTGTGAGACCCCCTAGAGGGCAGGAGGACTAGTATCTTGTGACTTACACTATCAGTCATCAAGAAAATATTGCTTTGATATCTAATCCCATTGGCTTTGAATTTGTTCCCTACTGTGAATTAAAAATATAAAATAGGAATTAAAAATTAAAAAATATAATATTTCATTAGGCTAGGCAGCACTCTTGATCATATAGCTTGTAGACAAGATGTGGTTTTTTTGTATTGCGCAAACCTTCCACTTCAAGTTCCTGTGAGTTGCATTTGGCACCTTATTACCATATACTCAGTGAACACGCAACTAAAAAATTGACCCAAGTGCATGAACAACATTAAAAGTTCTGACAGTGAAGCAGTGTTTCTCTTTTCCTTGTGCTTGTGTGAAATGATCTGGCAAAATAGATGCTGCAGAATTAATGTGGGGGTTGTGTGTGTGTGTGTTTTCTTTCAGAAATGATAAATGTTCTTGGGACCATGCCTTGCCAAATGCTGATTCGGCTAACAAAAGGAATTGGTGTTTTGAATATTTCTTGTACTGTATCAAATCTGAAGTCTTATGGAGATTTGCATATTCACTTCGTGAATGTGACAAGATTCTTATCTAACCTGTGCTTGTCAGCTTTCATTACTTTCTCCTCCACTTCAAAACAGTTATTTACTGCTGACTTTGAGTCTGTTTTCTTCTCTTTAGTAGTTTTAATGCATGTGTACTGTTAGAATGATTTTGGTTTAGTTTTGTTTAATGTGGTCAATGGAAAAGAATCTCTGGGCACACATATATAATTAACTCAGAAAGATACACATATATAATTAAAACACACAATGAATAATGCAAAGATATGACCTCTTATAACATAATCCCTCACCTAAATCAGTTTAAGAGTTTTGTCCTATTTAATCCGAGCAAGGAGTCTAATCGACCACAGAATTCAATAAGGTTCAAGACATGTGAACTTTCAACTGTGTAAGGCAGTGGGAACCAAGTTTTACATAATGTGATGTAATGTTATTATTTCATATGATATATGATATAGTATAATATAGCATAGCATAGTATATCTCACCTTTTCTCCAACGAGCTCAAGGTGACATACATGGTTTTCCCTCTCCACATTTTATCCTCACAATAATCCTGTGAGGTAGGTGAGGCTAAGGAACAGTGACTGGTCCAAGGTCACCCAATGAGTTTCGTGGCTGAGTGAGGAATTTGAATCCTGGTCTTTGCACTACTATAGGAACAAGAGGAAACAGCTGGTTTCATATCTGTTGCACTGCCATATCACTTCAGTAGAGAGTGATACAGCAGCTTTTAACTAAGTAGGGATCAGGTGCCATAGGGCTACATCTAGCCCTAAATAAGCTGCTAACTGTCTTTGCTCTTCATTTTGAGCTATGTCTTGCTCAGGTGCTGGCTGAGGAACTCACTCACCAAATCTCTTTGATTCCTCACTGAATTGCCTGCCTTGTCCATCTCTCTGCTGGACCATCGGTCTGTCTTCAGGCACCGGGAGAAAGGTCTGCCTGTATTATTGCTCTGACTGATTTGGATATTGCTGTGAAGTTACATAATTCCAGAACTGTGTCCCATAGGTAGGGTTTTCCTGACCCAATGTAGCATCTTCAACTAGATGAAAACAGATTGGAGCCTAAAGTTGGCCGTAGACATCTCACATTCACTTTATCAAGTAATGGCTGGGATCCTAAGGAGCACATGCATGCATGTTTTTCATGTGCACCCAGATCTCTAGGATTCAAAGAGCAATTTATGGAGTCTGGCGCATACATTCATGTGTTAGCATAGTCAAAAAGAGGAGATTAGCATCTGTAATAACAGTCTGTAAGCGTGGTGGCTAAGGGACTGTTCTATGAAACAAGAATCTTGATTTTATTGCTATGAATCAATAACTTTGATTAACCTTGCCTCTTTCATGAATACTCCAGATGGCCTTATGCAAGCTACTTTCTCTTAGCTTGATACCACCACCTGCTATATGGAGGGTAATACTGACATCTTACAGTGTTGTTGTAAGAATGGATAATGTCTCTGAATCTCTTTAAACACTTGTGCGTGCTATGCAAACGTTAAATACTATTTATTGTTTTAATGCAAATATTTAAGGCAACGAACCCCTGGATGACAGTAATGCACTGAGCAGGCTGTATCATTCCCTCTAATTGTGATCTCAGCTGGTGAATAACTATGCCTGTTTTGTGGAAACAGACCACTAAGAAACATAGAAAAGATTTTTAAACCTGATTTTTAAATCCTCCCTAAGAACCCCAATCAGTTCAGTGAGGACTAAGCAAGTCAGGAGAATTAAGAAGGAAAAATGGAATAGACCAGAGCTCCCCAATGTGATGTTGTTGGACTACAACTCCCATCATCACTGGGTACTGACCATGATGGCAAGGGCTGATGGGAGTTTGAGTCCCAGCAGCTTCTAGGATAGAGTATTTTGGAGAAGGGCCTGGCTGGCTTGAAAGAACTCTGAAAAGGAGGCCTCCTGCTAGGTGGTGAGGATACAATCCCTACATTTTAGGATAGAATCATAGAGTTGGAAGGGATCCCAAGGATCATCTAGTTCAACTCCCTGCTATAGAAGAATATGCTTCCTTCTGGGGCTTGAACCTGCAACCTTGGCATTATCAGCACCATGCTCAAACCAACTTTTGGTTGCATGTCTTGCCAGTACTGCGTAACATATATAAGCTGAGTGCATTCATTTCTGCTTTTGCTTCCTGATATGGGCTTATAGGTCTTAGATTTGAAAACAGTTTCTCAAGGTACAGAGTGTTAGCAAACTTTAAGGAAGACTAAGGTCAGTTGCTAAGGAGAGATCCTTTATCAGAATCAAATATGTTCTATCAGAAATAAACATGATGGGGAATTGCCTCTCTGCTTCTTAACCTGTCAGTATAATGAGTAAAGTTGTTTTTTTAAGGCAGTTGTTTTAGATATTGATTTTAAGAAAACCCAACCATGATCCTTGAGGGAAACATTAAACCTTTAATGCAACCAGTTTGCCTGAAATGTCTGCAGTTACTCAGCTGTTTCATATATTCAGCACTCTCATCTCTCTCACTGAGTGTTTTCTTTAAACACACACACAGGTCTTGGAATCCTGTGAAAAGTGAAACCTCCAATTCCAGAGTGTATATAAATCCTTGAGGACTTGGGTAGGGATAAAATAAGAAAAGCAAATTTAACTTTGATTTCAATAACTGAATATTGATGGTTTTGACTTGTAATCTGCCTGTTTCTTCTGTTCACTGTCATCTTCTGATTTTCTCTAATCAAAATGGGAAGGAAGTAGCTATTGATCTTAGACAATATGATCAAAGGGATGAGAAAAAAGCATACTTTCTTACTTGTTGATGATGACAAATTGCTCACAAATTGAGGGAGAAATTGTGCAAACCCTGGCATGTTCTGTTTGTAAAGAAAATGGGCAGGTGGAAGGAAAAGCACCCTCATTAAAGTAATCCAATATAGTTCTTTTTTTCCCTTGTAAAAGAACCTGTGCAATCCTGTATACAGTTTCCTGTCAGTAAAAAACACACACTGAACATAATAGCATTTGCTTCTGAGTAAATATGCATTGGCTTATGCTGTTAATTTGGTTATTACGGTTCATATAGGCAGGTTTGCCAGCAGAACCTACTTAAAAGGCACTCTAGAATGCTCTCTTTTTACTACTGCATGTTTTGATGCATTAAAAAGGGGTAAAATGTCTCAAAGAGCCTGGAAGGAAAGTGTAAATCCAAGTATCTTTAGAACACATAGTATTGCAATTTGTACCAATGTCAATCAAGTTATAACACTTAAAACTGAATAAGAGGGAAACAATAGTGATGTGGCATTTTCTCCATGTTCCCCCTCCCACCCCCATGAGATAGGCTTGGAAGGGGTCAGCCAGTAGCAGCTGGTGTTGTGGGGCAGTTTACCTGGATAGGTCTGGGTTGGGGCAGAGTGGTGGTGGGTGGGATCAGGGCTGCATGGATGCACTTTACATTTGACAACCATGCATCAACAATTGCTACTGTACATTATGGACTCTTTGGAGGCGGTGCTGTACAGCAGAGCATTATGGGGCATAACCTTTGGATTAGCCCTGAATCAAGGCTTAAGCATGGCCAATGGACCCATAGGTAGGGCAAATCACAGCACATAGGTAACTGAATGTAAAAGCATGGGTGAAATAGCCTGCTTTTGTTATCTTTGGGAACCACCTAGCAACTCATTTCTTTTCCTACAATAATTTGTGTGTGTGTGTGTGTGTGAAGCATCTCCAGGTCTGACTCATAGCTCAGTCGGTAGAGCATGAGACTCTTAATCTCAGAGTTGTGTGTTTGAGCCTCTGTTGGGCAAAAGATTCCTGCATTACAGGGAGTTGGACTCATTACCCTTGGTATCCTTTCCAGCTATACAATTCTATGATTGTAGGTTGCACACCAAAAGAAGTATTTCCCCACAAAGCTTGAGAAGTTACACCATGTATCTAATTGCATTAGATTAGTTCTGCTGTTCCACTGAGCAACTTCTTTTTCTCCTGCAGAAATATAAAGAATATGAGAAGGATGTTACTGTAGAAGAAATTGATGGTCTTCAGCTTGTGAAGAAGCTGGCAAAAAATATGGAGGAGATGTTTCACAAAAAGTCTGAAGCTGTACGGGTAGGTAGCAGATAAAATTATCTTTTATGTTTTGGGTAATGAGCTTGTACTCCTGGCATCTCAGTCTGATGCTGTGGACATGGACCGACAGAAAGGCCTTGGGAGAACTACGCTATATGTGGCCTTCTATAAGAGAAGATCTGAAAGAGTACTAAATATCCGTTTTGAAGCAAACAAAACAGAAACCTTAATCATTTGATACTACGTTTTCTCTTTCTTCTGCGCATTTCAAATTCCTTCTGGGGAGTGTTTTATTTAGAAAACATATGTCAATGTCAAAGGACATATACATGTTTTTAGCAAACTGTGTACACCAAAGGAGTAAAAATGGACACAGTCCCATACTTCCTTCCTCACCTTCCTGGTTGCTACACTCTGTGATTGGTGCATAGTTGTGACACATACACGCTGTACTCCATAGTCAATATTTCTTACAAAAGAAAACAATTCAGAGTCGGAGACCGGGAATTAGATCTCAGAATCTACCTGTACTGCAGAAGCAAATGAATTATTTTGAAAGCCATGTAGCCAGTAATTGGTACATGGCTTTTTACTATAGCTATTTTGTCTTTCTAAGAGGACTTTCCTGAGGATTAGTTACTGTGGACTTTTCAGTTCAATCTGCAAGGACTTAAAAAAAAAAAAAGTAAAAGTAAAAAAAAAATCCATATTATATGAAGAACACATTTAAAAAGGAATGAAAAGCAAACAAAAGATTTCCTGGTTCAGTAAGCAGGACCGTGGGTTTTCCGCAAATTAGCAAGAGTGCAGAAAGTGTATTGGACGCAGGATTCAGCTTGTTGAGTCTTTTGGCTTCCTTTTTAAAAATGGCGGTATGTGTGAAGATATGCTAAATGTGCTAAGACTTCTGAAGCCAGTGGGATGGCTGAGGAACATTTTCATTTGAGTGGACATGGAGATTCTATGCCCTGCAGAGCTCATTTCCCCTCCCTGCAACTAGCAAAACCAGAATGGATTGTGCAGAGGAGTAAGAATGGCAGTCTGAATTATGTAAGACAAAATTCTAGAGCAAGAAGAAGATTAGGGGTATTTTGATCAATTGCAGCTTGGGGTGGATTTAGGCACACATAATTTCTGTCATGCAGAGATTCAAAGGACCAGTTATTTTAAGCTGGCAGAAAATTGGAGCAGAAGATCTACTTCTTTCTGAATCCTGCTGTGCTGCAATTGTAAAAACCACTCTGTTTTAGAAGCCATTCTCCGGTGACCCTTTGCAGTGTTTAGATCAGGGGTCAGCAACCTTTTTCAGCAGGGGGCTGGTCCACTGTTCCCCTGACCTTGTGGTGGGCCGGACTATATTTTGAAAAAAATATATGAACGAATTCCTATGCCCCACAAATAACCCAGAGATGCATTTTAAATAAAAGGACACATTCTACTCATTTTAAAACACGCTGATTTCCGGACCGTCCGCAGGCCAGATTTAGAAGGCTATTGGGCCACATCCGGCCCCTGGGCCTTATGTTGCCTACCCCTGGTTTAGATGAAGCAGCCTGATCCTATAGTCCAGCTAAGGTCACCATTTCTCATCTCCCCTTGTGTTGGACAAGTTAGTTAAGTACCCCCTATCAGACAATAGTGCTTATCAGCTTTTTTATTGGCCAGTGGAAATCTAAGTACTTTATGAACAGTATAAAAAGTTGGAAACTCCAGGTCAGATAACACTTTCGAGCAGTAGCTACCACACTGCTCTGATTTTGTAGATCAGTGCTGGGGAATTAGTCATTCTCCAGTTATGGCTAGATTTCAACTCCCACTACCACTTTAAATCTCTTTGTTGGCTTCCTCATCTTCTTCACGTTTGTGTGTGCATCATGGATAGATAGTCCCCTCTTCTGGTTTCTCCGATTAGAAATCAATCAAGGAGAGGATTTGAGAAGGAAGAGACAGCTTACAGAACTCTAAAGAGTGGCAACTCCTAGCTGCTCTGCATGGAGTGGAGCTTTCAGTGCAGGGCTCCTCAGGAAGTGCTGGAATGTTTTGTTGCCTCAGATTAGAGCCAACAAACTGAAGCTCAGCCTTGATAAGACTGATACACTGTTAGTGGGTGGTTCCCTAGACTGGATGGGTGGGAAGTTGCCTGCTCTTGGTGGGGTTACATTCCTTGTGAAGGAACGAGTATGCAGCTTGCGGGTACTTTTAGATCCTTTGCTGCTGCTTGAAGCTCAGGTGGCCTCAGTGGCATGGAGTGCCGTCCATCAGCTTTGGCTGGTGGCCCAGCTGTGCCCCTAGCAGGATAGGGATAGGCTAGCGCCTGTCATCCATGCTCTGGTAACCTCTAGATTAGATTACTGCAATGTGTTATATACATGGGGCTGCCTCTGAAGATGGCTTGGGAACTTCAGTTGGTGCAGAATTTGGCGGCCAGATTGCTCATTGGCGCAAGACGGTTTGTGCACATTAGACTGATCCTGGCCTGACTGCGCTGGCTGCCAATTAGTTTTAGGTCCAATTTAAATTGCTGGTTTTGACCTTATAAAGCCTTTAACAGCTCAGGACTACAATACCTCAAGGACTGCCTGACAGTGATGAGGGTTTGAAGATTGGAGTGATCATTCTGTGATATTATGGCAGTGGACAAAACTGGATTGTAACTTTTGAACAAACCTGTTTTAATTAAAATAAAGACAGTATTTAGGGGAGCGTAACTGGTTCGGTTCTCCTGCCTACCTGGCAGTTCAAAAGCACGTCAAAGTGCAAGTAGATAAATAGGTACTGCTCCGGCGGGAAGCTAAACGGCGTTTCCGTGTGCTTCTCTGGTTTGCCAGAAGTGGCTTAGTCATGCTGGCAACATGATCTGGAAGCTGTACGCCGGCTCCCTCGGCCAATAAAGCGAGATGAGCGCCGCAACCCCAGAGTCGGTCACGACTGGACCTAATGGTCAGGGGTCCCTTTACCTTTAACTGGTTCAGTTACACTGGGCATGGAGCCTCGGGGGCACCGCAGGGGATGCCACAACTATGATTTAGAATGGAGCGCAAGAGGCAAAAGCTTTCAGATTTTGGTGGTGCGCAAAGCACTGCTGAAATTTGAGACCCCAAGGTTTAGGGCCTCTAATTAATTAATCAAGTTAATCTGCTTTGACTGATTAACATTTTATGGCCTTTTAAATGTGTTTGTGGGGAGGGGGTTATTAGTTTGTTTTTGTTTTATTAAGTACTTTGTGTTCTCATTTTGTATTTTTATGTTGTGAACTGCCCTGTGATCTTCGGATGAAGGGCAGTATACAAATTTAATTAATAATAATAATAATAATAAGGCACCTTCCTCACTGAACGATATGCTCTTCACTGACAATCTCCATTGCCACAAGCATGGTACAATGCAAGATGCTCTGAGATCTAAATATTAATACTGTTTTTATTTTCAAATGATATCATTTACTGAAATGGTCTCCTAGCAACTAATTGAATTAGCTGAAAATCATCTGTGCTAACACAGCATGTTTTTCATTGAGAGAGTTATTATATAAGAGTAAAAGAGGATTATTTCAGAGCCTTTTTTTAAAGCATACCTGAAACATTTGGAGGAAATTGTAATTAGTAGTGTTGGTGATTTTTGAATACTCCCAGTGACAAAAAAATGTTTCCATAATATTTTAATAATATTTCCATAATGTTTTAATAATGGTATTTGAAATGCATGTTAATACCAAATAAATATGACTGGCATATGCACAACTATGTACCATGTACCATGGCATATTCTAATGTTCCTCAGCTGGTATATTCTAAGTGCAGTTTATACATCCTCTAGATTGGGCAGTCCAAAAAGCTGATTAATATGATGTTTTAATAGCAAAATACGAAACTTATAGGCAGGCTGTGAAAGAAATATTTGGGCAAATCAATTGACTAATATATTTGAATTGGTAAATGTGCCCAACTGAAGGTCAGGCTCTCATATATGCTTTACTTTATTCTTACCTAATTTCATGAATTTAATTCTGAACGTTCTCTCAATTATTTCTGAAGAGAATTATTGGCCAAAAGCCACCAAACAAAGACATCCCCAAACTCCCTTATTGAGCATTTTGCTCTTTGTCTGCCCAGGATACACTTCTTGTTTTATTAAACAAATCTTGGATTCTGTCAGTTGTCAATTCTTCATAGGCAAGATTATATCTTGATTTCTGAAAACTAAGCAGTTGCATATTCTTAAACACTACCTTCAGCTGTGCTTTAATTCTTCTTATTTGGTGCTGGAAATTCAAGTGAAAATGTTCAATGTAAATGTTCTCTTCCATGTTCTTTCTATGACTATCTAATCCAGTCTTCTCCAACCTGGTTTTGGACTATACTTCCCAATATCTCTGACAATTGGCCATGCTGGCTGGGGATGATGGGAGTTGTAGTCCAAGACATCTGGAGTAGAAGGCTAAAGTAATTCAGCCTGTGTTGCATCAGCATGCTTCAAATTTGGCTTGGATGCATCATTTTGTATTTTTTTCATGTTGCACACTGGCTTGGGTTCCTTCAGGAGGAATGGTGGTATATAAATGAATGGATTTGCCAGCCTCTTTACAAGCAAACACCTTAATTATTGTTTGAATAATCAAGCATGTGTTGGAGGAACCTGAAATCAAACACTGTTTTGTTTGTTCAGGCACACTTTATCTAGTCAATTACAGAGTGTATATTTTTACAAATGAAGAGAACATTCTGTCTGCCACAATAATGTACCTGGGGAGAAGAGAAAGAGTCATGTTGCTTTCATTATATTCATTTGAAGAAGGCCCATAGAAGAAGAAGGGAAAGCACCCAAGAAATTGACCAGGCTTTGTAAAGGTCATGTGCCAAATGCAGTACCAGCCTTGTTGCTAAAAACACTTGCTGAACCTTTTCTGTGGCATGAAATGTTTTTAAGTGACAGTTTTCATTTTACTTATGTAGAGTGCTTTTAAAGATGGCTGTTTGATTTACATTGATAACACTAAAAATCCCTACTTTCTGAAGTGCAGTAGAATATATATTCTTCTCTTCTTCTTCTTTTTGAAGCCTTAATGCCTTAGCCTTACAGGAAAATGGGGAGAAAGGGAGATTCACCCCCCTTTAATAGTTTTTACTTTCTTCTTGCCCCTTTTTCTGGCTATCTGGTGTTTGCTGCAGAATTGATTTCCATTATAGGTGTACTGTGAAAAGTAATTGCTGTTGTACAGTAATTCAATTTCAGCACATTCACGCGTCAGTAAACCAGCAGGGTTTATCAAGAGAAAACAGGGACATTAAAGCTTTTTATCATGAAATTTCACATGTACAGACACATTTTTGCAAGGAGCCGAATATTGGAATTTGCATTTCATAAACACCGCTGACTGCAGACAAATATTTTTCTGCCCACAGGTGCTTTTACAGCAGGCTTGCAAATTGTTTGCAGTCATTATTAGTATGATATTGTTTAGGTTGGTCAATATAATGCCAGTACAGTTGTACCTCGGAAGTCGAACGCCTTACGACTCGAATGTTTTGGCTCCCAGATGCTGCAAACCCGGAAGTGATTGTTCCACTTTGCGAATGTTTTTTGGAACCCTAACGTCCAACACAGGTTCCGTGGCTGCCGATTGGCTGCAGGAGGTTCCCGCAGCCAATCGGAAGCCGCGCCTTGGTTTCTGAACATTTTGGAAGTCGAACGGATTTCCGGAATGGATTCCGTTCGACTTCTGAGGTATGACTGTATTACTGTCATGCAAGTAGTGAAATGGGTTTGCTAGTGAAGGGCCCGTGGCTCAGAGGTGGAACACTGGCTTTGTCTCTGCTTTGCGTGCAAAAGTTCCCAGGTACTGAACTAGATGAACCAGTGGTCTGATGCATACTAAATCAGATTCATACATGTGTTGTGTAAGTTTTTTCCTTGCTGCAAATACAGTGGGTTGGATTCGGACTCTGCTGCCATCGGTGGTATCATCTCCCTGGTGGGGTGGGTGGGTTTCCTTTTGAACAGTGTGGAAGGTGAAGTCTGGATTCAACCCAATGTTAATATAATCTAAGTCCTAGGTTGAATTCCGTTTTATTTTGTTTTTTTAATACATACAACGTCCCTAGACGCTGGAGACCTCATGATGCAAGGGAGACATAGGCAGAGAGAGCGGGGAGGAGAGGGAGAGGGAGAAGTGAGGAAGGAGGGTTAAACAATCTACCAGTCTGGCACCTAGCCTACACTTAAAATAAGAGGCTCTAAAAAAAGAAGCTCATGCCATCTATATTACGGAAGAAAGTCCCCAGGTAGGGCATCTGCACTCTGTGGAAAGTTCCTGGGCAGACTGACTGCTTTCGTCAGCTGCCTGCTCTAGTGGTTTGCTGCTGCCTGCAGGAGGCAGGGGAAAGCCAAGTCGGCAAAGCCACAGGCTGCAGAAATCTTGAGCGAAGCGACAGTCCACATTGTGATTAGCTATATATTTCCAGGTTGTTATTATGAAACCAGTTGTCATGATGTGACTTTCATACTGGTTTTGGACGATTATCAATACATCGCCCTAATGCCTGCATTGCAGAGGGTTGGACTAGATGGCTCTTGGGATCCCTTCTAACTCTACAGTTCTATGATTCTGCTCCTGGCTAACCTCTCTTCTCTGAGTCTACCCACAATTCTCTTAAATTGACCCTCTTCAGTGCCTTGGAATGGTTGGGATGATCATTAGACCATGAGACTCTTAATCTCAGGGTCATGGGTTTGTGCCCCATGTTGAGCAAAAAGTTTCCTGCATTGCAGAGGTTTGGACTAGGTTTGGGATCCCTTCCAGCTATGATTCTGCTGTTGGCTAACTTCTCTTCCCACTTAATTCTTTTAAATTCCCCCTTTTCAGTGCCTTGGAATGTTTCTGTCAATCACAAGCAGCTGCTCACCAGCTTTCCAGAAAGGTTGAGGCACTGAAGATGCATTTACCTTGTGGGGTGTGGGGAAGGGAGAGAGACTTTGTTCTGGCCATAACCAATGGCTTTTCACATATGAGCCTTCAGAATGGAGTTGCTGCCACAGGCATTATGTGTAGATGTCTTTTAGTGAACTGAATAGATTCACTGGTCAACAACAAATTTGTTGTCTGCGTTTTTTCAGTTGATTTAGGACGAGTCTGATGCACTGAATCCAAAAATCACATTGGTTTTGCTCAATCAGGTCAAGTTTCTGAGCTATGGCCACATGTCGTTTTTGTTCACATGTACGCTTGTGTGGAGCATTTTAGAAGAAGTTGGTGGGGGTAAAATGCCATGTTGAATAATGGTTTTGACTGGAAATGATTATTTTAATGACAAGAAGTATTCAGGTCCGATAGTTCTGGGTGATTATGTCGAAAAGGGATCAGTTTGAAGTCATAAAACCTCGAAATCTTCCATAAATTGGTGCGGCAAAGCATAAAGTTGGGGGGTCAAAACTAAGTTAATCCTGATCTTCAATCAGCACATCGTCCTGTAGCTCATTGTGATGAAATTCCAGTGCCTATCTTCGGAGAACTTCCTGACATTAGTGACGAAGATGCCTCCAGTGTTGAAGGACATGAAGAAGAAGAAGTGGTTCTTGAAGATGATGCTCCACATCCATTTTCCTAAAAGGAGTTGAATGATCTAGTTCGCGACCTCAGCTTGTCAAAGGACTCTGCCGAACTGTTGGCATCAAGATTGAAGGGAAAAAACCTCCTCTCTGACAGTGCTCGCATCAGCTTCTTCCGCAACAGGCATCAAGAGTACCTCGGTTTTTTCTCGGAAGAGAAGGACTTGGTGTACTGTGCAGATATTGCGCAGCTTCTGCTCAAGCTTGGAGTGCCACAGTACGAACCCAAAGATCGGAGACTGTTCATTGACAGCAGCAAGCGATCACTGAAATGTGTTCTGCTACACAATGGCAACCAGTTTGCCTCTATACCCCTGGCTCACTCAACTACACTGAAGGAGCACTATGAAGCAGTGAAGTATGTGCTGGAGAAAATTGGTTATGATCAGCATAAGTGGTTTATTTGTGTTGCCCTGAAGATGGTGAATTTTTTGTTGGGACAACAGTCTGGCTTCACCAAGTACCCATGTTTTCTGTGCATGTGGGATAGTTGGGACCGTGCTCAGCATTACACGAAGAAGGACTGGCCTGTGTGGGAGGAATTGGTGCCTTGCAGAGAAAGGAACGTCATCAACGACCCTCTGGTGGACAGAGACAGAATACTATTCCCACCGCTGCACATCAAGCTTGGCTTAATCAAGCAGTTCACCAAGGCTCTGGACAAGGATGGTGACTGCTTCACTTACTTGTGCCAGGCTTTTCCAGGATTGACCATGGAGAAGTTGAAAGCTGGCATCTTTGACGGTCCTCAGATCCGTCAGCTCATCAGAGATCCAGAGTTCGGAAACTCAATGAACGAAGTGGAACTGGAAGCGTGGAAGGCATTTGTTCTGGTAGTGAAGAACTTTCTTGGCAACAATAAGGCCAGAAACTACACAGAACTTGTCAACAACATGCTGACTGCTTTCAGAAACCTGGGCTGCAACAAGATGCACTACCTATTTTCACATATGGACCGGTTTCCTGAGAACCTGGTTTCAATGAGTGACGAGCAGGGGGAGAGGTTCCATCAGGACATGAAAGAGATGGAGACCAGGTATCAGGGTCGCTGGGACGCAGTCATGATGGCTGACTACTGTTGGACTCTGAAGAGAGACCTCCCTGCCGCTGAGCATTCCAGGAGTTCCAAGAAATGGAAGTTCAAGCCCTGAAGTTTGAAAAATGGTGAAGCAACATGCAATTTACGTGTACTTACCTTTATCAATGCCCACCATTCAGTTTACAGTAAACCTGACCTGATGGAGAGAAACGGATGCCATTTCCTGATTCAGCAGTGCAAAAATACCCCTAAATCAGTTGTAGAAATCTAGACAACATTCAAAAAGTAAAAAATTGTTGCCCAGTGATGAGTCCTGGGGATGGGGAGAGTGTGCGTATGAATTCAACAGTGCTTAGTGTATTTTTTGGGTGCTATTTTGTTATTGTTGCTAATATTGTTCAATAGACTATGAATGCTATAGTACTTTGTGAATCCTATAATATGACTTTTGTTGTATTTATTATTATGATGCTGTTTTGCTTATTTTGTTTTAGTTGTTTTGTTAATGGTGTTTTACACATTGTAATTCTATATGATTGATGTTGTATTTCTGGTGTTCCATTATGTTATTGTTATTTATTGTTTGTAAGCCAGTTTGCGATTCATGTCAATGAAAAGCGGCCTAGAAATTTAGTAAATCAATCAAATCAATCAATTCCCTACCTAGAAGCTTTGTGAAAGGCTGTATAAAATGTTTTCACTCAGGAGCCAAAGCCTTGACCTTTTTTGAATTCTTAGTTATGTGTAATTACTTTGTGTTTTAACAGGACAATACAATCTCTTACCCTTCTGCCTCTCTCAGCAATGTCATTGTGTTGCATAATTTAAATCTGCCCGTTTTTATATACAAACAAATATACTGCCCATAGTAATTAATTATTTTTTAAAAAATGTATGGTTATATGATTTATTTTTTATAATGCTTAATGTATTATGTTTACTAACTGCTTTAAAATAATCACCCCCTTTCACAGACACAAAGCGAGAGATGAGAGAGAGAGAGAGAGAGAGAGAGAGAGAGGGCGAACTTGAATGATTATGGAATTTGTTTTTTATCTCAAGGATATTGTTTCCCACTCTAGCCTTGAAGAAGTGACAGGAAATCCTTTTCAACAGTATAGAAAAAGTGTATAATAAAATACACAGCACATAGAAAAAATGTATTTCCAACTGACATTTAATTTTATATATAAATGTGGTTTTCTCTGTACCTTTCACAATAAAAAATGTAACATATTAGAATTACTTAACAAAGGCCTGTTCCTTTTTCTCCCTCCCTCCCTTCTTCACACCATTACCAATGCCCAGAAATGAAGGTGTGTGCTAGAGTGTGCAAAAACTGGCTACAGCTATTGCCTTGAAGACTTCCAAATAGCTCCCAGAATCCTGAGGATCATGTGACTTGGCCTCCCCCCAGCAGTGATTATTCAGTACCACACAACTTTATTTAATTTATAACTTCTAGACCTTTTTTTAGCCTTCAGACGCTGTGATATTAAAATACAAAATAAATTTATACAGTTTTCTGAGCACAGGGCTGAAATGGGCTGTGGGAGGAATGAAATTATGGTGAATCAACCAAGTTTCACTATAAATAGTCTCAACTGACAGAATAAAGACATAATAAAATAAGATGGCTATAATTGTATTAATTACCAGCAACAAATGAAAGGGTTTCAACGATATTTTTATTCAGTATTTCAGCGACATGTTTTGCTGGTTCCTTGTATTATGACTTTTGTTCACGCTTTGGCCAATCATAAAGATACGTTTGTGTGATCCTAATGAACTGAGAACCCCTCCAGGCTGATTTGGACATTCCACAGAAGTGGGATTGTCAGAGCATGGTTTTTACTCATTATTCTCAGTGCCTTTTTCTAAGCAAAGCAGGTATAGATGGGCCCAGGGCTTTTTTTCAGGCGGAACTCACTGGAACTCAGTTCTGGCTCCTCTCAGATGGGCACCATTGGCATTATAAGAGAACAAGGGAGGCATTCCATGGTGAGTTCTGGCACTTCTTTTCCTAGAAAAATAGCACTGGGTTGGCCCCATTTATGGTGACATCCACATGTGAGCACATGGATTTCATTCTTATTGAGACATACGTTTCCACTAGCAATGCAGTCTGATACATCTCTACACAGAAGGCAGGGCGCCGTGTCAGAAGTTAAAAGTGCAAGTAATTCGGCCTCCTGCAGAGTATTGCCTCTACATGATATTGTGAATTGTCCCTCAGAGCTGAGCTTGGCACAAGAAGGTATAAAGGAAAAAGGAGAGCAAGCCCACAGAAAAACAGGGAGGGGTTGGCTTTGTGCCACTCTTGTCTTTGCCTGGTCTGTTCTCCCAGCCAGCAAGTGTGTGTGTTTTGCGCTATAACATTTGCATGACCTGTTTAATATCTGTTTGTGCTGCTTGTATTGTTTGCCTGCCTGCTGAGTGAATGCAACTGTTGTAGTGGTGGAACTCCTTGCCTATTGATACCAAGCAGGTACCTTCACTGTATTCTTTTTGGCACCTGGTAAATACATCCTTCTTTAGTCAAGCCTACCCAGATGCTTAGAAAAAGCTGCTGTGAATTTTGATCTGTTTTAGTATTTTAACTTCTTGTATGTTTTAACATATTGTAAATATCTCATGATTTTATGGTTTTATCTTTTTGTAAACCACTTTGAGGTTTTTTACAATCAGTTGGTGTATAAATTTCGTGAACTAAGTAAAAATCTTTTCCTTCTAGCATCTCTTTTTGCTTTTCATGGAATGTGTTGAGAATAACCACATTCATTAGCCCCCTTTATTTGTTAAGGACATGAATGAGGCTCCTCATTTAAAAGGGAGGCAGGGTTGCACCACTGGCTCTGCCCTCAATGTCATGTAGCTCCTTGCCCTAAGCGGTCAAACATAAAGTGTATACATCTGCAGTACGGAAGCCTCTGTGTGTAGGATTCCATGCAGTCCTGTGTTAGCCTAATTTCTGAGATGCTACATCCAGAGGGTTCCCTACTATAGACATCCAAGCTCAGTGTATGGATGCTGCTGGGCAGGGCTAGGGAACTACTTGATATTGGAGGCAGTCAGCAGCACAACCTTGCTGCCCCTTCAACACAGGGTGCCCCATTCTTGCATATACTATTCTGATTTGTTTACCTGCTGCAGTGCAACCCAGACCTCTGCAGTTTATAGTATTTTACAATGCTGTACAATCTTAAGTATGTCTACTCAGAAGACAGTCAGAAGAAAGCCCAACTGAGTTCAATGAGTCTTACACCCATGTTAGTGCATGTTGGATTGCAACAACAATGTACACACCAATCTGCTGCTGCAGCAACAACAACAACAGTAAAGTATGACTGGGGCTGGACTGAAAACTTAAGTCATTTCTTTGCCTGGTAGTTCATAATGATCAGACTCATAGTAGGTTTTTTACTCCACAGAATAAGAAATATGCAGGAAATTTTCTGTGTTGTGGGGAGCATCCTGTTACCAAGATTTTGTGCAAGCATTTTCAGAGCATGGAAGTAGATTTTTCACATTTTAGGTGTTTTCATTACACAGATAGTAGCTATTTAGGGAAAAATATGCCTTTGCAGCAGGAAAAGATTATGAAGACTTAATCAAACAAGTAGAGAATGCAAACTTTCATAATCATTTCATGTAGCTCAGGGTTTTGACATGATATGTGTATTTGTGTGTTGTGGCACACACCAGACCCACACAGATTGTGAGTAATATATATGATGATGATGATGATGATGATGATGATAGCAATAGGCTGAGACTGATGAGAAATGAAACAAAAATCTCTTGGCTCTCACACATAGCAATAATAATAAGACTGAGTGAAGTATAAATAAAATAAAACAACTCAGGTTAATTAAGAAAGACTCAAACGCAAGGCCCCAGACCAGTAGCTATCTAAGGGGGATCCCACTGCAATCTACTAAAACAAATGCGAATGGAAACAACAAGGAGACAACAGAAAATTAAAATGGAATGAAACAAACTACCAATGATACTGAAAGGGGAAAAATAATGCGTTGAAAAGGGTGGTAATCAAAATGTGCTAGCTCCTTGTCAACACCTTAGGACCTGTGGTACTAGGTAGGGGCCTAAGGAGGACTTGGGACCTTAAGATGTTCAGAAGGTCCTGGGATCAACTCACAGCATTTGCACATAGGACTAGGAGAGATTCCTGCCTGAAACCCTGGCAGCTTCGTATGTTCCATTGGCTGGATCTCTTATTTGTTTGGTTTCTTTATTCATTTGTGCTCTTCATTGGGCAGCTCTTGCATTGTTTGACCTTTTTGTTCTTCTGTGTACATGCAGATAGATTACCACAACATGCATATATGTTTATTAGTCTTCAAGACAGGTGTGGTAAACCTGTGGTCCTCTGGATGTTGCTGAACTGCAACTCACATCAACTCTGGCCATTGTTAGCCATGTTTCCAGTAGTTCAGCAACTCCTGGAAGGCCAAATGTTCCGTACACCTCACAAGACTCTTTATGGCTTCATGTGCTTTAGGATCCTGTTTTGCTGCAGTATTAAACCAACTTGCAAAAAACACAGATACATTTACTCTAGTTTAGGTGCCCAAGTACATTCTTATATTAATAATGTACTTTGTCCTGTCCCCCTTTAGCATCCATGCATTCCTACAGTTTTATTTATTTATGGCCCCATAGAGTTTCCATTGAAGCTATGTGCCTCAGCTGCGTGTTTTGTTGTATCAATGGAGCTTATTAGAATATCTCTGCAACATGCAGATAAGAGAGATTATTCTCTTTGTTATCAGAGGTTTGCATCTGCCACCCCTCCCTAGAGAAGTTGCTTTTTGTATGGTAATGATATGTCATTGGCTGATGTTGGAGTAGGCTTGCATATGGATTACTTGGTGTGAGTTAATTAAGGTCTATTAAGGGTTATTAAGCACAAGAAAAGAATAATGAATAAGGTTTAACAGCTTTCTCTGCATAGTATCCATTAAAGCAGAAACAGGACCTCAGCGTGAAGGACTAACAGGAAGAAAAATTCCACACATTTGCCTTTTGTCCTACTTTACCTAACTGAAATGATCTTATGTGTAACAAACCTTAAGCATGTCCACTTATAGTAAGGGCTGATCAACATGTTGCCTTTGTCAATGTGGAGAGCCCTGGAGTAGCGCTGGCTATTATGCCATCCTTCTGCTTGACAATTGGGTGAATTTCCATCCCAGAATCTCATGCCAAGGTTTGCGCTAGTGTGGATGCAGAAGGTTCCAGGAGGTCATCCAGTCGAGCCCTCAATCTCATAATAACATATATATTTGCTTACTATGTCTTAGCTACCATTCTTGACCTTGAAAGTCAAATATTTATTTCCTTTTTTGTTCTTTTACATAAAAAGTTGGAAAGGCCAGATTTCACAAACATGGCTCCTTCTTGACTGTATCTTAACAAAATTAGAAAGTGAAATCATGAGCACAAGGGATCTGGGTGAAAGGGGCAGAACTTGAAAGATGCACCATTCTGACAGCACAAGAGCATTTTAATATATTTCTACTGGTTCCTTTGTAACAATGAACTTTATTAAGGCAGCAATCCTATGCACCATACTTTATTAAGGCAGCAATCCTGTGCTCCCTAGAAGGCAGTAGGACTTACTTCTGAGTAGACAATACCATTTGGAAGCCACCCAGAGTGGCTGGGGCGGCCCAGTCATCATCATCATCATCGTTGCCGTTATATGCTGTTCATCATTTTACAGAGGAGAAATGAAATATATTTGGAAATGCATCCTGTAATGTTACAAACATGATCTTTAACCTGTGAACTTGTTAAATGAATTGGTTTAGAAGAAGAAAAAGAAGAGTTTGGATTTGATATCCCGCCTTTCACTCCCTTTAAGGAGTCTCAAAGCGGCTAACATTCTCCTTTCCCTTCCTCCCCCACAACAAACACTCTGTGAGGTGAGTGGGGCTGAGAGACTTCAAAGAAGTGTGACTGGCCCAAGGTCACCCAGCAGCTGCATGTGGAGGAGCGGAGACGCGAACCCGGTTCCCCAGATTACGAGACTACTGCTCTTAACCACTACACCACACTGGCTCTCGTTTATTTGAAATAGCAACCCATTGCAAGCAATAATGCAACAAGTGATTTTAAATAACTCATCCTGTGCATCTTTTAAAAACAAATTGTCGTCCCCCCCTCCAGAGAGTGAACAGCCAAAGAACACTCATTTTCTTAGACCATTTTATTGTTCACATGAGCAGGCTTATTTATTTAATTATTTGCAGCTTTTGCCAAAACAGAAAAAAAGAATATCAAAAATAAGAGTAGATAAAGTTGCACCTTCTCTAATTCTGACACCGAGACAGATGATTTAAGGTTAGCTCATGGTTCCTCGCTTAAGTGAGTGCCGTGCCGTGTGTTTTCAGTGATCATTCACAGCAGGTCTATAAATACATTCCCAGGGACAGGCAAACTCAGTAAATCCCAATCAAAAGCTAAGGCTGGGTGAAAGAAGTAAACAGTTCCAAAGCTGTTCTATAAATTGTTGTGTAGAAAATGGTTCTCCGTTTTATTATGTAGGTTAGATTACAGCAATCATTGAAGCACAAAGACTACATTATGGAGCAATGTTGTTGCCCAGACAAGCAGCAAGAGTGCATAAGGTTGGGTGATGAACTGCACTTGCAAAATGAAATGGGAAAAAAGAACTATTGTATTGTGCCTTTGCGGAGTGTGTTTGTTTTATAGTAGAAGCTTGGAGTGGAGAGAAGGTTTGCTGCCATAAAAGCAAACAAGAGTTGGCACTTAGAAGAAATGTTGTAGGTTTTAATGCTACTCTTCCATTTGTCTTGTTTATGTTTTGTGTCAGGTTAACAGGCATTCAATTAGAGGATAATGCCCAGTTATGTGGGATGTAATAATACCAACAGGATCTTATACCCTAAGTGCTTCAATTAATGCTTTATTTTTCTCCTCTGCCCCTCCAAGTATCTGATGGAAATAACCAGTTTGGTTGGTAAGGTGGCCCTGTGTCCTACTTAACAGAGAAGAGTCCTTTCCTGGCCAGATCAAGGGTGGTTTCATAGAACAATAAAATCATAGAATTGAAGAGTTAGAAGGGGCCATGAGGGTCATCCAGTCTATCTCCCTACAGTCCAGGAATCTTTCACCCAACATAGGGCTCATTAAAGATAAGGAATCCTAAGAAGGGAGAACAAGGGCCCTTTGACAGCAAACTGAATACTCACTAGCTCACAGTCTTCCACATCATGGTGAGATGCACTGTATTTTTGTTTAAATTTAATATTTTAATTAAATAACATTTTATTTACATTGTACTCATACACAGGCATTAGCCTGTGAAATGTTGTGCAAAGCAGTACCATCACTGATGCATTTCCTACTTAAGAAAATGATGCCTAAGTTGCCACCCCATTGTTGGTTAAACTTCTGTTTCTTTGGACTAAGATTGTGGTAAAAGAATCTGTATTTTTAAGTTTAAAAAGAAACTTGCTTTGCATATTGATTCTGAATTGAACATAAATTGCTGGGTTCTGTATCCTGGTCTGGTACAATGTCTCTTTTTGTTTCTGTAACTTGAAATGGCAGCATCTGGTAAAAGAAAAAGGCAGTATGACTCAAACTTGCATCCTTCTGAGTTTTTGTGCAGGGAGCATCTTGGTAGAGCATGAGACTCTTGATCTCGGGGCCGTGGGTTCAAGCCCCATGTTGGGCAGAAGATCCCTGCATTGCAGGGGGTTGGACTAGATGACCCTCAGGGCGCTTTCCAACTCAACAGTTCTGGTTCTGATTCTGACCTCTGAAGACTTCAGAGAGGAAAACCTGCATTGGAAGCTTCCTCACAGCCAGTATAGAAAGAACCATTTTTGTTGGAGCTCCTGTGGGTACAAAGGGCAGAAAGGAAGCATGCTGCATCTGCTGGGTCCTTTTTTGCATCTGCTGGAACCTACATTCTTGATACATCCCTGGAAAAAGGGAAAAAGCGTACCAGGACTGAAAAGTGGAGGGTGGGGAGGGACGTCTCTGTTCCCATCTTCTTAAATTTGCCAATTTGCCCGCCTCTCCAGTGACCTTCCCCAACACAGTAAGATTGCTCCAAGAGGAAAGAGCAGTGCCTTCAAATGGAATGACTACATTCTGTGTAGGTAGCTAAGGTGGCTGGCCACAAGGGAGATGTCCTTAGCTGTGGTGGTCCCACAGCTTCTTGAGGACTTCCTGCAGTTATCTGGCTGGCCACTGTGAGAGCACGATGCTGGACCAAATAGACCTTTGGCCTGATCCAGCAGGTTCTTCTTATGTTCTTATAGGATTCCCTTCCATCATACCTACATCCGATCTCAACATTGCAAGCTTTTTCAGAGGCCCCGAGGAGCTATTTTCCCATTTTTCCTTCCATGATGCTCATGAGCTGGGTGATGGCCTGGTTGAAGTACACTTTATCCACCCCTGTTTATATAATTGCTGAGCTGTAGTTCTAAGTTTTACAATTTTGCATTACTGATCTTTTTGTCGATCGTTGTTTTTGATCATGTGCTGATTTGCCTAGAAAGATGGCCTAATATTATTCAAATAATTTTAAAATATTGCTAAAAAGTATTTTAAATAAAATGAATAGCATTTTATGTGACCTTATCTTGATGGTGAGAGGGAAGTGGTGTGCCTAGACTTGTAGCAATTATCTGGTGGGCTTTGGAATCCAGTCATGGTGTGCAGAGCACTAGACTGCACTAGACTGCTGGATTCTAGTTTTGCCCTTTTGGCCCATTACAACAAGCTACACATAAACCTACAGATTACACAGTTGGTCTTGCAGTGTTACTGTACGATGTTGCTTGAATGATTTCTGAGAGCCCTGCAAATAGTTGTTCCCCCTCTCACTCCATAACTTGTATTTTTTGTTTAGGGGCACACAGCACTGACAGCAATAATAACCAAGGTGAGCTCCAAAACTCCACGTAAGAAGCACATTTTCTTTAAAAAAAGAAAAGCAAAGGCAAATTCTTTTCAGTTCCAGCATGTTATCTGTTCATGTTATATACATCCTTTAACATTGCCAATAAAAGCATATTTTCCTCCAGAAAAACATATCCCACGTTTAAATGTGAAACACGCCATATGGAATTCTAAATCTTTATTATACTGACTAGATTATATTGCCTTGTTAAGTCCTCAGTTCTTTAAAATATTAAGTTCCTGTTATGGAAGAAATACGTTCCTGCAGGCAAATAGGATTTTGTTTTAATTGCCATGTGCAGCCCGCAACATTTCCTTTATAGTAGTGTCCAAGAGAGTTTAAAAAGGATGGTTAGTGTCATACCCGCCCCCCCCCCCGGCAATGTCCTCGCACTATTTTCACACAGCAGCTTAAAAAAATCTGGAGGAGTTTAATTAGTAATTAGCATTTGTTTTAATTAGTTTTTGTCTGCTAAATACATCTAACTAACATCAACCCACAATCAGAACACCAAGCTCGTACAGACTGGATGTGTGTGAGTTACATACATACAACTAGTGGAGACATGTATACATATATTTTCAATAAACATAAGCAGCTACATAAATTTCTGCAATGCATGTGGCTCCAGGAAGATCAGCTTTGATATTGGTATGCATACAGTTTTATTGCATTTAACTTCTATTTCTGCATGCAATCAGTGCTGAGTATCTTTTTTCACTTTCACCTGCTGTGAAGAAATGTTTTTGATTTTAGAAATATTCCTCTTTCGTAGTCTAATATTCCTCTTCCTATGTGTGCATGGCAGTATAACACTTGAGGCCCACTGATCTTTCACCGCAGGCTCTCTGCAGGCATGGAGATAGAATTTGGCAGCTCATCTGCAGGCCAGCATTGTGTTTAGCCAGCTAAAGTGGCTCAGTAGACCAATTTTGGTGGATGCTTCCAAGAGTGCCATCAGTCAAAGTAATTGTAGTGCAATCCCCTAGTGAAAATGCTAACTGAAACTCCTGGCAGTCAAAAAATAAACAATTTCCTGAAATGGAAGCTTTGAAAATAACACTGAAATTAATTAGTTCAACCGATTAGCAGCTAGGGGAGGTACAGCTGTACAAAATGTAAAAGAAAATTTCTCTCTAACCTAGACTCTCCTTTCCAGATGTTCCCCTGTTAGGGCACTTTAAAACTAAAGATGTGCAGAATCCTTAAGGGTGTTCCTGCCCTGCAATACTCTTTGCCAGATGTGTGACAATCGCAATCAGGATCAAGGCCTCATAGGTGCAGCTTTGCTCTTCATACATTACTGCAAGCCTGACTGAAGACATTTTGCTGCTTGAGGCAAAGGACAAGTGGCTCCCTTGATACTATTGTACGGAAGTTGACCAGGTTCACCTTTGAGCCTTATTTCAGTACTGGTGATGGGACAGTGTCGTCTTACACACCTGCAGGCAGCAAAATAGCTTAAGCAGTGCAGTGCAGGCTTCCACTTCCATTTTTTCACTTAACCCAAGTTACCAGTGATATATAAATGTGAAAAACTGTAGGTTATTCTAAGTCTAGAACAAACTGGAATCAAATTGTGATTTGCTATTTTGGTTTGCTAACTAACTAGTTACAACAACTCACAATCTCCCCCAAAGTACAGTGGTACCTTGGCTTTCAAACTTAATCCATTCCGGAAGTCCATTCCAAAACCAAAGTGTTCCAAAACCAAGGTGCGCTTTCCCATAGAAAGTAATGCAAAATGGATTAATCCATTCCAGACTTTTAAAAACAATCCCTGAAACAGCAATTTAACATGAATTTTACTTTCTAGTAAGACCATTGATCCATAAAATGAAAGCAATAAACAATGTACTGCAGTCACAATTAATCAATCAGTAGCTGAACTGGGTTCTACACAGTCACAAAAACAAAAAGAGCCACAAAAACAAATACACAGAATAAATAGCAAAACAGTCAGACTTCAGCAGTGTTTGGGTTCCAAGTTGTTTGAGTACCAAGGTGTTTGAGAACCAAGGTACCACTGTACAGTAAACCCTGGTTTAATCAAAGGTGGAAGTGGAAGCCTTCACTCTCTGTCTCTCATGTACAAAAGAAGAGCAGAGAGGAGGGGGAAACACAGAAGCCCAAGGCTTGCCACAGCTTGTTACCAGTGATCTAAACCATTCCTTATTGTCTGAGCTGCATCATAGAGTCTTCCATCAAATTTCCTAAATAGTAACCAAATCCTGTTTATATCTCTTTCAATAAAAGAAACTATATATTGTCTCAAAATCAGTTGAGGATGTAGAATTAAGACCTAATAAAGAGCTTCATCCCTTTTTCACAGAAGGTTTACTATATCGTCAAGCTCCCATGCTCTCTTGGTATCTGGCACTTACCAGAATTTTTTATTTTATTGCATCTAATAATATATGCAATGTATGGAAAGGGCAGGAGAGTTAGTGTGTATCATTGTACAGCGCGCGCACACACACACACACACACACACACACACACACACACACTTTTGTGTCTTGCCAAATCACTGTGTGTTATATTTTTGATTATGACACTATTGAAGACAGGTATGGTTTTAAATATTTTAAAATTCAAGACATGGTATAATGGAATAAGTAAATATGAAGTGTAAAATGAGGATAGAGGAGAATTAAATACTTTCGAATGTTAAAATAAGTAAAAGAAAAGAAGGTTAGAAGGATTTGCTGGAGATACGATTCAAACTAGAATACAAAGCAGGGAGGTGAGAGGAAGTCATGGAAATAAGTAAAAGGGAAAAAGGTTGTAAAGGTCTAATTTGATTTTTGCTATTTTTTACTGTGATTTTTTGTTTCTTCTTATTTCTTTCTTATTGTCTGTTTTTTGTAAGATGTGTGTGGTTTGTTTTTTCTATATTTTTTGTAACTTTAAAACTGGAATAAATATTCTTTAAAAAATAAAAAATAAAATAAATATTTTAAAATTCATGCTTCCTTACTGGAACTTGTACTTGAACAATGTACATGTAATCATATACGTGTGTGTGTGTGTGTGTGTGTGTGTGTGTGTGTGTGTGTGTGTATACACACAGACACACACACTATATATATATATATATATGTGCATTTAAATTTGGAAAGGAACACATGCCTGTCTTTGCAGTAATCAACAGCATCACAAACTGCTATTTAGCAAGCCATAAGATAGTTACTTTTAAATGTACTTGCTGGATACCCCATGGAACAACATGAAGCAGGTGCTTTATGCTGCAGATCCCAGAGGAGGTGCTATTTTCCAATAATAATAATAATAATAATTTTTTTATATCCCACCCATCTGGCTGGGTTTCCCCAGCCACTCTAGGTGGCTCCCGACTGAATGTTAAAAACACAATACAATCCCCAGTCCCTGTCTCGGTGTGCCATTAGCAAATTACCTGTGATCCAGAAAGCAGCAGCATATTTTCACTGTTTGCTTTGGATTGAAAAATGCCCAGTGACAGCATTGTATGCTTGTGACTTTTTTCCTCTACCAATGTCCATTTAGCTCCAGCTGCTTTGGCTGAAGCTCTGAACATATGCGGGCAATACTGAACATGACGTGGATCATGTGGTCATTTGTCCCTTAAGAAGTGCATCAAGATGATCAGCTTATTTTATACAGGCCATCAAACAGCCTGCAGATAATGGTAGCATCTGGTCACTGCTGACTTGGATTGAATTGCAGTGAGTCGCCTGGAAGGTTTCATTCATTCAGCGATACCTTTAAAGGAGAGGATGGGATTTTCTACCCTCTCCTGCCCAATGGTTTGAAGTGCATAAGGTCCGAATTAAATTATGTTGCCATTGCGAGAGTAAGATAAAACCCTGGAAATAGCACTGTCCAGAGTAGCTGAAGCTCTGAGGGTTGCAAACAACGTCCCCCTCCCCCAGCACAGTGCCGTAATTTGCAGTATTGTGCCTGAATGTAGCCCAACTAGAGCTGGAGTTTTGCACCATTAATTAGTGAAGTGTAATAGCAAGACCCCCTATGCAGTAATAAGTACGTGAATTCCTTGCAGTGGTACTTGAGGAGCACCACCAGCAGGGGGTGGGGTTTCTAGCCTGCGTAACTTTATCTACGTCACTTTCCAAGGGGCTTTTGGTCCCATCAGACCAAAATACATGTAATACCTTTATCTATTATTGTAGCTAATACTTTACATGGTAGTTAGGACAGAACTGGATGATACAGTACTCTTCTTTTGCTGTTGGTTGTGATGAAGACTCTTTGTTACTGGTTGGTTACAATGATTTGGGGCCCTACTTAATGCAGCAGGGGGAGAGAGAGAGAGAGAGAGAGAGAGAGAGAGAGAGAGAGAGAAGGCATTGTTTTTTCAAAATGCAAAATGGTTCTGTTAACCCATCAGTCTCACGCTGCATTTAAAAGTTGTGTTTGAAAATGCCTTATGTATTTGTTTAATGTCTCCCCTTATTTTGAAAAGACTTGTCAGCTTCTCACACAGCTCTGCTTCCTTGAAAATATCCACCCTCCCCTTTGTGGTAGTTAATTATTTCCAGTTTTGTTTTTTGTTTTTTAAATAAAAAGAGAGAGAAATGAATAGCTTAGACTAGAAGCTTAAAATAGAGGGTGCATTCTAATATAATAGAATAACTTGGATGTCTGTATAAGTCTTCTAATAAAGCTTCTGGTTTGATGTGCTGAAGGAATTAAGTGATACACATCATTTTAATTATGTTACTTTAGAAGAGAAAAGGCACAATAGATAGGAAATTCCTGAGAGATCCTACAAGAGAAGTCCAAGTGAACAACGAGGGAAACATGGAACAAACTTTCTGTGTGTTTGTGCACAATTTAAGCCCCCATTTCCTGATATCTTACCATATTTTGTTATCTTTCTAGTTGTTCAGGTAAAAGTATTATGCTAAAAATTCTAAGAACCACTGTTTCCTTTTCATTTGTATCAAGAACACCAAAAACTTAAGATACAAATTAGTGCTCAGGTCAGTACAAAGACAGTGCTGATCTGGTATTTTATTCTTTAATTAGTATTTATTAGCATCAAGGTTATACCTTGGCAGCACTTGGTAAATCATAACTTGGCAGTCTGAGGTGGTATATCACCATTGTAACAAAACAAGCAACACAAATCAGATTTGTCTTGTTTGGGGTCCAACAATAGTGTAATTTGAGCCTGCAGGAAATATGATTAACAGTAGGTCCGTAACCTATTAAACTGAAAATGTGTTGCATTTACATGAAGCAGATATCATTCAGCAACAATTAGATTATGTACAAAGGCACAGTAAGGTTTATGTATGTTTGAATTTATAGGGATTACACCTGCTAAGTGTTAACAGTTTTCTCAAATATTGAATTACAGAAATTGAATTTTATATCTGTAAATAACGTTTTCTTGTCTCTCAATTGAAATGTGGCTTAATGCAGTCACGATCCATTGTTCTCTGCACACATGTAGCCAGGAGCGGCCAGCTGTGTTGCTCTCCTACCACTTTCCTAATTCCATGTGTTCCTGCCACTTACTGAGAGGGAGAGATGGAGGGGCAAGGCAGTGGCAGCTTGGTGTTGTGGGCACAGCAGTGGAGCCAATCTGACACTTCAGACAATGCACTTGCCCTGCATGGACCTGCTGCTCTTTCTTGGTAAGCGGCAGGGGGGAGAGCCCTGCCAGCCATTACTGTATGCAGCTGGGAGCCTCTTGTGCCTAGCTCTCTATCAAGGAGTCCTAGTAGTCAGGCCAATTGGATCTACGCATAGGAGCCTCCCAGGGAAGGAAATAATAGAATTGTAGAGTTGGAAGGGACCCTGAGGATCATCTAGTCCAACCCCCTGCAATGCAGCTGTCTCATAGAGGGATCGAACCTGCAACCTTGGCATTATCAGCACTGCTCTCTAATCCAGGCATAGGCAAACTCAGCCCTGCAGATGTTTTGGGACTACAACTCCCATCATCCCTAGCTAACAGGACCAGTGGTCAGGAATGATGGGAATTGTAGTCCCAAAACATCTGGAGGGCCGAGTTTGCCTATGCCTGCTCTAATCAACTGAATTATCCAGGAAGAAGGGTGATATGTTGCAGTGTGCTTGTGCCTAGATGAAGACCAGGGGGAAGGAGAGAAAATTTATTATTATTATTTATTTGTTTGTTACCTGCCATTCGCCTTAAGGTCCCAGGGCGTCTCACAACATTAAAACACAACATTGAAAGCAGTTTAAAACAACTCGCAATCACAAAAATAAGGCGGTTCCTAAAAACATATGCCTTAAGCATCAGAAGCCAAGATAAAGATGTTTGACTTCAGTAGTTTCTATCCCTTAGGTAGAAGTGCAGGTGAATCACAAACAGGATGTCTCCCTGATCAGATGGACTACTTGCTAAGGGCTTGTCCAGATTTCCACTTGTCCTGTGCTTGGAAAGCATGGATCTGAGAGATTTTACACTTGTCTCATGCTCTCTAGGCACAGGTGTGTTTTTTGGGGCTTGTCCTACCGTTTTCCCCTGGGGAAGCCTGCTGTTTACCTGCTGAATTGGAACAAGCATCAGTTTTACAAAAAAACTATTGGCATTTGTTCTGCTTCAGTGATATACAGTGGGTTTCCCCCGAGGGAAAGTGCCAAGACAAGTGGAAGTGTGGACGACCCCTATTATCTCCATATTATCACATTCTCATTATTGTCTCTCATTATTGCCTGTGAGAAGTATTCAAATCTCCGGATGCTTTGTCAATGCTTTCCTGTGGGTATTTAAAGGAGAACGGCCCTAAATCATCATGAAGAGATTCAAGCAATCCTATCATGAAATATGGCATTGTTAAATTCTGCAGGGTTAATGGTTTTTAGCTGCTTTTGGCTTCTTGAAATTAAAGAAGAGTGGGATATTAGTTTTATTAAGTAGAAGGAATTGCATTGGAAAAACTTTCCCCCTGGTCTCAAGTTTCTTATTGCTGAGGAGTGGAATAGCACTTCCTATGAAAAGCATGGCTTTCTTGGGGCCAGTTTCTTTACTGCTGAATAGCCTGGAGGCAGGAACTGATATTATGCTAAGTTTTTCTCACCATGTGGAAATCTTTTTAAAAGAAACACTTCTTTGACTAGAAAAAAATCAAGTGATCAGTAAGCAGTGACCACCTTTTTGGAGAACTGCTTCCACAAACTGTTGTCTGCTTTCACGCCTTTTTAAAAGCACCCCACTTTTCCAAGGTCCAACACAAGTAGGAAATTTCCTCCACTCCAAAGGATAACAGGTTCTCAAAGTGTGAAAATGTTTTATTATGCCCAATGCGTTTTGGAATTAAGAAACTCCTTCTTCGGGGCAACGCTTCTTCCTTGTTGTTGTTGTTTAGTCGTTTAGTCATGTCCGACTCTTCGTGACCCGATGGACCAGAGCATGCCAGGCACTTGTGTCTTCCACTGCCTCCCGCAGTTTGGTCAAACTCATGCTGGTAGCTTCGAAGACACTATCCAACCATCTCATCCTCTGTTGTCCCCTTCTCCTTGTGCCCTTCATCTTTCCCAACATCAGGGTCTTTTTGACGGAGTCTTCTCTTCTCATGAGGTGGCCAAAGTACTGGAGCCTCAGCTTCACGATCTGTGCTTCCAGTGAGCACTCAGGGCTGATTTCCTTCAGAATGGATAGGTTTGATCTTCTTGCAGTCCATGGGACTCTCAAGAGTCTCCTCCAGCACCATAATTCAAAAGCATCAATTCTTCGGCGATCAGCCTTCTTTATAGTCCAGCTCTCACTTCCATACATCACTACTGGGAAAACCATAGCTTTTACTATACGGACCTTTGTTGGCAAGGTGATGTCTCTACTTTTTAAGATGCTGTCTAGGTTTGTCATTGCTTTTCTCCCAAGAAGCAGGCGTCTCTTAATTTTGTGGCTGCTGTCACCATCTGCAGTGATCATGAAGCTCAGGAAAGTAAAATCTCTCACTGCCTCCATTTCTTCCCCTTCTATTTGCCAGGAGGTGATGGGCCCAGTGGCCATGATCTTCGTTTTTTTGATGTTGAGCTTCAGACCATATTTTGCGCTCTCCTCTTTCACCCTCATTAAAGGTTCTTTAATTCCTCCTCACTTTCTGCCATCAAGGTTGTGTCATCTGCATATCTGAGGTTGTTGATATTTCTTCCGGCAATCTTAATTCCGGCTAGGGATTCATCCAGCCCAGCCTTACGCTTCTTCCTGGCTACCGATAAATATAAACTTTGCCCTAAATTTCAGTTCTTTGCACTCCACATACCAACTGGTTCCAGTGGCTTTCTGGGCCAATAAGGACCAACTCAAAATCTCATTTGTATATTAATGTGCCTCCAGGCATCTTTTGCCATCTACAGTAGACTTCCCGAGAGATTAACTGTGGGGATGGAAACTGCCTCCTCAAACCAAATGACTCATTGTAAACTCATTAACCATATGATGCTAATGTTGTTGAGTCTATAAGGAGCACTTTCAGTCACTCAATCCAAATCTGTTGATGTGTATGAGGTGAATTGCTCAGATCTGTCAAGAAGACTGGCTGAGTCTAAGGAGACGCAGCAGGAAGCCTGAAAGGAAGTAGGCAGCTGGGGAAGTGTAATGACAAGAACTTTCAGAGTTAAGGACACTCTGCTCCTCAGAGGCTCAGGAATCTAGAGTTCTATAGAGTGCTTGCAAGCAGGTTATCTTGGAAGAAATTGTGCTTTTGTTCTACTCATTATGAAAAGTATATTACAATTTCTGACCGGTAGGATTTCCTGTCAGCTGTTCAGGCCCACTTTTTAAAATTTCTTGCTCGTACGCTGTGTTTCCCTGCTGACGGCCTTCATGGGTCGTTAAGTGGCAGCTGTGCCCCACAACCTGCTGCTGGCAATTGTAAGATGTGTGGTTGCCTCAGGCAGAGATTTTGATCGTTTCCCGTTTTACGACTTCGGCCACATACTGCCAAGGGGAAATATCTAATATTCGCTCTGTATGGACAGCCCTTAAATTTCAGGCATACTTGAGCAGTTTCGCAGCTGTGTAGAGAATGTGCTTTGAGGGAATCCTTGTCCTCAAATATTGCTTTTGTGTTTTGTGAGCAGCACAGAATGGTTCAGATTTAATTTTTCACTCTGTGCGATTTGTTCAGCACGAGATTTTGTCTCCCATTTAAACCAACAGAAGGTAAAAGGTGCAGGCTCAGCTGTCAGATTTCAGTTTGTATTTATTTATTTTAGCTTCTAATTCTTCCAAGAGAGATTTAAGAATTTGCAGTATCATGTGCGCCGTGTCTTAGGAACAGTCTACAGCTAAGAAAAGGAGGCTGTTATTTACTAATGTATTAAGGCCACCCAATAATAGCTCTCTGGGTTGTTTCAGAGTAAAACGCTGAAGTTAAAGTCAAGTTCCAATAAGATGTAGCAAATAAAGCACACCAGTTAAGATAAAAACATATCAGTTAAGAGCAGGAAAAAGAGTAATAAAATATCCCACAGAACTAAAATAATATTAAGGATTGCAGCATAATTAAAAAGATTGAAAATATACTAGGTGATACTCATTTGTATTGTCCAAATTGCACAACATACTTTGCTTGCATACTCCCCCTTTCTCTGCGCTCTGCTCCACCCTGTAGTATTCTGTGCCTCCTAAAATCTGCTTTGGTGGGTTGGGGACCCTACAGAGCAGATCCAAGATTGCAGGGGGCTGTGGGTGGGTTTGGAGGTCATGTCCGCTGGCATAGCATTGGCTCTCGCCCCGTACAAAGAATCTGTGACCTAACTTGTTGGCACGTTGGATGTCAAACACATCTGGCATTCATTTGACATATATTTAAGAAATCTTTCTTTTAAAAAGCAATGGTTGTCAAAAATTGCTATGATTTTTACATCTCAGCACGTGCTGAGTGTGCCCCAGAGAACTCCTTGCTTTCAAGCATCACCTAGGCAACTGTATAGTGGGGCCCATTTACTGTACTGACATCTTCCTCATAGCATGACTGAGACTTGATTCCAGCTTTCTTGGTTGGAAATCTTTCCCGGTTGAAGAGAGGAATATTTTTTCTCCTTTTAGATGCCTCCACTGAGCTTGATCCCTGATTTCATGATGCTTCAATAGGCCAGTTGGCCGGATCATGTGATGCTCCTACCAAGTTAGTGCTCAGCCTGCTGGGTCCTATGATGCCTGCATCACAATAACATCCACATTTAATAATTTACTGGCATATGATGTTTTAATGGCAACTGCTCAGAAGGGTGATTCATACACCTAAATCATATATTAGAGAAGGTTATTTCATATACCTAATAACTAAAACATATTGTTCACAGGGCAGATTCAAAATTGTTGTACTGTTTGCTGAATCCCTTAATTTTGGTTAAAACCCAAACAACATATGATATGTATGTGATCTATTTTTCAAAACAGAGGGATGTTAATCCCCCTTTCATGATTGTGAAACCTGCCTTGTCAAGTTAAATCTTTTTTAATGTGAACAAAAGGATGCCCCAGATATTTAGAAATTCTTTGTGATTTCGTCTTCAACCACAGATGGTAATAACCTTTAGTCATTACATAATTTGAATTCATTCAGTACAGCTTTTTCTCCTATGTATTTCTTATAAATAGCCATATTTAGCTTGCTTTAGATGCATCTTTAATGTTCACTCAAACGCTCAAATAGTGTTTGATATCAGCTCTTCCTCCCCTTGTGAATAACACTTAATTTTTTATTTTGCCAGGATTATTCAAAAGGTGTCATGTTAAAATACAATTGGTGTTCAAATGCATTGGGGAGAGTGACTGACCAATCCTAACCCTTGAATTGCCTGGCTGAAGGAGGTTAGGAAGGAGTAGCGGGGCTGGAAAAGAGCTTTGCCAGCAGATTGTCAAGTCTGACATGGAAATCCCCAGTACATTCACAGATAGCTCTGCATCAATAGACCTACCGTACTTCTCGCTGTGGCTTTGATGGTGGTGACTGGCATTGGGCCCTGAAATGTGGGGCTTTGGGGTGCAGCAGGGGCAAGATGGAGTGAGTTTTGCAGTCACTGGTCCTTAGTGTTCATCCAAGACGCTCCAGGATCAGGCCCCCACCATCTACATCAGTCTGGCACCTGGCATGGCCAGGGGCATGATTCCCCTTTGGAATCAATGTGGGGAAATAAATAAAAAGATAATATACATATGGGGTAAGTCAGCCCCACCCCCCACCTCCTGCTCTAGTTGGCCTGAGCTGGTAGAATTTTGCCTGTGCAATGTCTCCATCCCAAACCTTAGTTAGGGTTGCACTATAATTGAAAAGTGGATCAAGAACGCTTGAGGACTTCTGTACATCCAGATTGAACACTTGGGTGGGAGCAAATAAAATAAGAGAGTGTATTGAGTGTTAGGCAAGGGGTAGTACCTCTGGTGGGGGACACATTGTGTTCCTCCTGGTGTCTACCTTTGGTCTCCACCCTGCACTCAGCTCTCACCAGTGGCTTCCAGCATGCGGTAATGACCGCACCCCAAGAACAGGTTCGACTGGCCAGCTAAACCAGGTAAGGGTAGCCGATAGGTCTCAAACCCTCAGTGAGTCATTGTCAGAGCTGTGGGCGTCTCTCCTCACCACAAATGCCATGGGAGCCTCTTGAAGTTTTTATAGTCTTTATTTACAATATTTACAGTGGGTCATTAGCACACCGTTCATCCATCAGAGTCACTCAGTTCAGATCTCTGCTGAGGCCTGCCATTTGCCTCTCCAACAGCTCATATAATGGCGAAGTTTCCCGCCCCATCATTCAGCCCTCCTCTTTACCACACGCCTCTCAAGGGCGGTCATAAACCTCCCCCCCACCCCCGATTCTGAGCCTGAACATAACCCCTGCATTCCCTGTGAACTTTCCATTTCCCCAGCCCTTCCTGGGCTTATTCCAATCTCTCTCTGCTCATTGCTTCCCTCCCCCTTGGGCACCTCGTCCACATCTTCTGCTCCCAGGCTTCTCCCTCCCTCTGGGGAACTTGAAACCTCTGGTTCGTTCTTGACAGTTATGGACTTTCTCTTCATGTAAAGACAGGCTCTGGCAGATTAAACAGACAAGACAAGAGTAAGTCTAGCGGTCAAGAAAGTGGTTTCTGCATTTGCTGTAGAGGAATATGAGGGGCAGGTGGGACTTGTCATCCTGGGAAAGTAGCTCGTCTAGGAGAAGAAAAAATCCTAAACTGCTGATGCCTTGCAAGATACCTTTGGAGGAAGAGAAGGCTAAGGAGTAAATCCTACACAAATCCAGAGTGGAGTCCCAAACATGATTGGATGGTACCTTGTATGTCCCCTTCCAGGAACTCCTGCAGCCAAAGTGGTGGTCATCACTTGAGAGCTGCAAATGCAGCAGTTTGACTTCACCTCTGGAGGTGCAACTCCATTGTCTCTTGAGACAGATGCAAAATGCAAAACAAAGCAAAACTGTACGAAGCATGGAGGGGTTTAGATGACTGTTCCCCAGTTTTAACTATGTGGTGTGATGAGGTTAAGGATTCTGAAGAGGGAAAGGGATTGTTGCCTGCCAGTGTGGATAATTCTGAGCTGTATGGAACCATTGCCTGATTTGGTATATAAAAAGGGGGGGGCAATAGGGAGGCACTGAATGCAAGAGAACAAAGGAGAAGAGGTGCCCCCCAGGCTAACTGTAGTTGTTAATGCCCAATGCATTCCAGAAAAAGCTTTCATTTTTCAGCAGGAATTCTTTTTGTTGGAACAAGGCAGAAATGTACTATTGAGGTGTCCTCCTTGGCCAAATGCAGCCAGGTTTCTGGGGAACATGAATGGGAAGAGTGTCATTGAGCTTATTTCCTGCTTGTGGGTTTTTCATAGGCATCTGAATGGCCACGGAGAGAACAGGATGCTGAACTGCATGGACCTTTGTATGATCCAGCAGGACTCTTCTGATGTTCTTACAATGGGAATAAAATGTGTTTTACTGAAAACTTATATGTCAAACCCCTAAAGTTAAGAAATGTAGCGTAACCTAATTTATTTCAATTGTTTAGGACTTCAATAAATTCAGTTTGGAAGAAACTGAAATGTCGTTATAGGACACACAAATTCATATAAAAATGAGGTTTTGATCATCTGGATTCCGCTGCATACATTTCCTACCATAAGCCTCTTTCTGCTTTTACAGTGGTGACTAGACAGGAGCTCTCAAAATATTTATAAGCAGATGTGTGATAGAGAAAGCATTCAAAATAACATAATGATGTTCTTCTGTGTTCTGAAATGTGGAACAATGCTGTGCAGCTTTTTCGTCCTACATTATAATTTAAAGGCAAACTTGGGTGGAAATGTTAGGAATATCAGCTCTTTTTCAGCTAGGAGTTTCAGTTTATCATAGCCTTCCCCGGCCTGGTGCCTCTAGAAGTATCAGACTACAAATTTCATCAGCATAGCCATACGCCCTCTTAAACACATTCTGATATAAACATACTTTCTTCTATAAGCCTCCAAATCAGCAACTTTAGGCTGAAGCCTGCCTTATAGATCCCCATATGAATACAAAAGCAAACAGTATTTTAATTGGATCAAGCCTGTTTTTTATCACCATAGAATATTGCTAGGGACAGAATATCCTGCAAATGAAACTTTTTAAATTGACATTGTTTGGGAGGGGAAAAGAGAGAGAGAAAAGATCAGCCACAAGTTTTATATACCATTAGGAAGCTTATTTTCCATAGTTAAAGTTTGCAAGTAGCAATTGAAACATCGCTTTGAAATGTCAGGCAAAGGTTACTTAATGCAAAATGATTATTCTGTTCAAAATATACATTTTTTTAAAAAAAACAACAACCTTAAAAGCCCACCTAATTCTGTATGTCCTATTAACATTTATCTGACAACAATGGCCTTCACAAATATTCAGTGACACTGCATGCCATTAAGGGCAGAGATAAATAATAATGGAGGTTCAGAATGTGAGGACACAGAAAACTGCAGCATTTCTCAACCTTAGTGACTAGCACTGCAACACTCTCTGCTTTCTGACAGGTCCCTATAACGATTCTGGGTCCATTTTAAAATATTAGATGAATTGTTTATGCATAAAGCCGTTTTACATTTCTTTGTTTCTTATGGTTGTTAGAGGTATATACCCTTATTTTTTTAGTGGGGTGTGAACCATGGCAGAGCTACCAACATTTCCTGTGCCCTGATAGCTCTTACCAGCTAAGGCTGAAAATGGATATAAAGGCATTTTTTAATAGAGGCATCCCATTGCTTCTGGTGGGATGCAATGGACTATTCCAGCTCTGAAGGAGTATTGGGGAATGAGAGAGCTGTGGATCCTCTTGTTTCTCAGGTGCCTGAACAGCTGAGGCATTTCTAAGCCATCCCATTTCCGGCCCCACCAATTGGCAGAGCACCATTGGCAATGAAGCTCCCCGGGACCATAGGACTGCACTCATCAAACGCTTTATCCATTTTAGCAACTGAAATGTGTGAAAGCTGTGTGCAATGCTGGCACAGGAGAAAAGGTTGTATAAATTGGCCTGGCCTTTTGGATATTTTCTATCCTTACAGTATATATTATTGAAGTGATCAGAGTAGTTTGCATTTGCCTTTTTTTAAAAGTTATGTTTATGAATACAAGACCTGTTACCTACAAATGCAACATAGTGTAACTAAGGCTGCGATCCTATACACCAGGGTCCCCCAAACTTAGATCTCTAGCTGTTTTTGGACTACAATTCCCATCATCTCTGAGCACTGGTCCTGCTAGCTGGGGATGATGGGAGTTGTAGTCCAAAAACAGCTAGAGGATCTAATTTGGGAAACCCTGCTATACACCCTTACCTGGGAGTAAGCCCCACTGAGCTCAGTGTGACTCAGTAGGTATGTACAGCATTACAGATATTTTGCTCCTTTCGTTTCCTCCCACCCTTCTACAACATAGGAACATAGGAAGCAGACCCATTGGGCCATTTAGGGCAGTATTATCTACACCGATTGGCTGCAGCTCTGAAGAGTTTCAGGTAGGAGTCTCCACCAGCCTCATCTGGAGATGCTGAGACTTGAACCCGGGAGCTTCTACATGCAAAGCAGAGGCTCTGCCACTGAGCTATAGCTCTTTCCTTTGCTCTCTCTTCAACTTAAATATTTAACGTGCCGCAAAAATATAAGTTCTTTAATACTTTTTACATTATTCTTTTCTTCACTAAATATAATGCAGTGGCATCCTTGCACTGAAGGAAGTGGTCAATATCCATTAAAGAAAGCAAGTAATACAATTCCCATAGTCCAGGTGGAATTGTATAGTCAATCAATGTTAGGAAACTTATAGTAACAAGCTATTATAAAGTTAGTTGTCAAATAAGGGTGCTTGCTGCTACTGTTGTTTTAATAAGGGAGATTGCTCCTGCAGTCAAAAAACAGAGTTAATCACTTTAAGCCTAATTGATTTCAATGGGAAAGATTTGGGCAGGCACTTAATTTTTCCAGTAAAATCAATTGAACTTAAAGGTGCTTGTATTTGGCTGGATGGTGCCCGTGTTGTTTCAGTTGTTACTAAGTCTAATCCCAGTGCATATTTACCGTTGAGCTTACTTCATCTGTGTTAGTTGCTTTCATTCATAGAAGAATTCAGAAGTCCTCTCCTTTTCTACAGAGTAGAAAAACATTTATGGTGATAGACTCTTAAGTACACTGCAGTAGTGCACTCGTGTTCTGTTGTGTGAGACAACCTTTTCTTGTAAGATGAGAATTAAGACGAAGCATACTCTTTCAGATCAAGGACATCCACATTTAAATTTAGTCTTAAGGTGAGGGAGGGAGGGAGAAAGAGAGAGATTGTATTTCCCAAAGTTGCATATTTTTAGCTGGAAACTATATTTTGGACAAGCACTGACCTTGTGCATTTGACTTAGACTTTATATCGTCGTCGTCGTCGTCATTGTTTAGTCATTTAGTCATGTCCGACTCTTCGTGACCCCATGGACCAGAGCATGCCAGGCACTCCTGTCTTCCACTGCCTCCCGCAGTTTGGTCAAATGGACTTTATATACAGATGCCAATTGCACAAGGAACTTAGGGTCCTCTCCTATTGGTTCCTTCTGCATCCATTAGCATCTTGTGTCCCTTCTGATTTGCTTTCTGCTCACCCAGGTGGATGACTTACACAGAAGGGGGAAAGCTCAGTAGCAAGAAGCTTTCATGTGCAGAGCAGCACACACATGACGGTATGGAGAGAATGTGCAGGCTGTGTGGCTCACGTTTTTAGGAGAAACAAAAAGGGACCATAGCCTAATAACCATTTTCTTTTTCCTAGGGCCATTATAAACATTAGTGTTGCTGGTCATTGCTATCCAGTCCTGACCTTGACAGCAAGCCCATTAGGCATAATGGGGCCAGTAAGCCCTGTCACTGCAGCACCTTGGAGAGTTCCGAGTGAGCAACTGGCTCCAAAGACATCTGAAACTAGAAAAGGTTTTATTCTTCCAGTTCCAAATTCCCCCTTCTGTGAGGAGTGGAAAGCCTTAAAGGGCCAGCCTTCTAACCTGGAGCATAGCCATCCCCTTCCAGGCTCATTGCTTGTGCCAACATAGGTATATATAGGGTCCTCAGGGGCAGCATCTAGCGCTAGAGCAGGAGCTGTTATCCCAACAGGAGACACTCAGGTGCCAATTCCCACCCCCACCCCCAGCTTGAAACGTTCTAGTTGGCTGGAGTGGCTAGAATGCATTGCTCCCATTACACCTGTTAAAACACAAATCCTTCTTCGAGTGATGGGACATCATAATGTGTTGTCACTCCCATAGAAATTATGTGGCAAAAAACATAGGGAAGCTACATTCCTTGCTGTAGAATCTTCCTAACAGGGCATTATATAGTGGGAAAAGCATGGTGTGGCAGCCATATTTTGTTTTTGTTTTTTGTTTTTTGCCATATACTCTCCCTGAGAATGAAGGCATGGCACTACATCCTGTCACTCCCAGGGGGAACTGCAGTAAGTTTTCCAACATGCCTAGCAGGAGTTGTGTGAACTAGCTGCCCCAGTCATCTAGCAGGGTTTTGTTTTAGCAGGGAAACACACAGAAATCAGAAATTCTCATCAGAACACTTTGTAAAGGGATCTGGTTTGAATGCAGATTCCAAAGTAGAACCACAGTTTGACACATCGGTCTGGGAGGTGCTGATCAGGGAAGTCTGCTTAAGTCTGCAAACTCGCCATATCACACTCAAAACCATATACGTTGTAGCAGTGACTTTATCAAGTTTATAGGAGCACACTGAGTAATGTTTGGGTCCCTTCCAACTCTACAATTCCATGATTAACCTGGTGTTCAAATGGGAGGAAAGATGCTGGAATCATTAGTGGAGTTGTCTGCATGGCAGGGCAACTTGGATAGATTTTTTCTGATGCTTCATGTTAATATGTTTTACTGGGTTAGGGGAATTAAAAAGCTTGAATGTTTGCCTGCAGGCACCACAGCATAACCCAACTGATGGGGTCATATCACATTTTGATCAATGTTTAGGCCAGAGGTTGCAGCAAACCCTCAATTCACATGCCATGACAGCCCTGAAGACTTTCAGTTCTGTTTGTATCTTCATCTGGAACAAGTGAAATAAAATAATACTGTAACACAATAGCCCCAGCTGCATACAAGATGTTGCCGATGGCACATTAGCAGCCCCTGGGTGCCAATATGTTCCTCTGGAAACACAACAGTTTGACTTCCTATTAAGGACTTAATATCTAAGCGGTTTGAAAACAGATTGGGCTGAAGCAGGGCCTGCAGGGTATCATCTTGTTGGGGTTATTTTTCCTGCGCAAAAATAGTTCAGTTCCTTAAGGCGGCAATTACTGAAATGGGAAAAATAAGGGGGTTTCACTTGATTTCATGGGGCTTCCAGAACGGCAGAGCAAGAAACAGAGAAACTCATTTGTAAGGGTACTGAACTCTTTTGTTACATTAGAATTACATCTGTGTATTTCTTTTTGATGCTGATCAACAGGAAAAGGTGATTGTAAAAAACAACAACAACAACCAACAACAACCCATGCATTTATATAGGGGGCTTGAGAGGTTGTACATTGTTACTCCTCCAATTGCAATAGTTTTCTTCAGGGAATAGTACAAACAACTTTCATTTTAAATTGTAAAAATAAAATAAATCATGTGTGTTTGGGGGTCAAGGGGATGTTGGAGGAACACCTCTGATGAGGGGTCCTCTGTGGCCTGTTAAAATGGATTGACCCTGAACTGTTGCTTCCAACTGTACTGATAATGATCTCCCATAGGGACCAGTAAGTATAATTGCTTGGCAAAGGCTTCCAGAGAATTTAAATATATTTAAGTGGAGAATAAGCCCTGGTTACTTGGATGTGTCATCCACTTGACACATCAAGTGCCTAATGTGTGGTGCCTAACCTGTCTCTGTTTGTCCACACTCCAGCCAGGATGGCTCTAAACAGAATTACTTCTGGCTTCTGCTTACCAGCTAAACTGGAATCTTGTTCAGGTCCTCCTTACTTCCTGCTTCGTCCTGTCACCTTTGCTGTACAGTTGAGACTGACGTTAACAGTCCTATGTAATGGACAGTGCTACTTTAGTTTTGGATCCCATAATGTCTACATCAAATGCAGAGCACCCATGTTTCATGCTTCAGTACAACATCTGAAAGGAAAAGCATGTTTACCTACTTGGTGGTGGTAAAATGTTTGTATGCTTTCCTGGTTCTCACGTGTTTCTCCAGAAGAAAGATTTATGAATCCTCTGTTTGGACATTACTTACTTCTACTTTGCCAAACCTTTATTAGGCATTACAAATGTAGGTCTATATCTACTAGAAGCCCCCAAAGCCAATACGTACATGCCTTGCCACCCTCCAGAAACTCTTAAGCTTGAACTGTATTAGGAACTAGTTCCAGAGGTTGCTCAGGAATCTAAGAAATCAGCAAGGTTTTGAAATCGGTGGTTAAAGTCAGTGAAGTTTCCAAAGGTTCAGTCTGCTTTCTTGATTCAAAATGGCATCCGCTTGTATCCAAACATGGGTGAAAAACCTGCTCCTTGATATTAGGAAGCATGTGAAATTAGGTTATGATCTAATAGCGGTATACAAAACTGCAAGCATAAAAACAGCTTCATAAAGACATAGATAAATACAAACACTGAGCTGAAGTGTAATAACAGAAATGGGTTGCAAGTCATATACTTGTTCAAGCCCTGGGAAGCAGTCTGTGGGTCAAGAAGAATCTGTTCTTTATTTCTGTATGTCACTGCAGGACAGAAGTAGTGGAGTTGGGGAAATAAAGTAGTAGAAGAAGTTGTTACGGCTAGGCATCCCAAATACCCTACATGACAGGTAAAAAGAACTGGCTCAGACAAACCCACATTTACAGGAACTGAAATATATTCTGGGGAGGAACGCATGCAATTTAGCTCCAGAAAAAGAACCATGTAGGATATGATGTATAAAGTACTGTACAAAGTGTGTCTGCTGAGCTATTTAAACAACATGCGTCATATTTGGTCACTGTGTAGGTGACATTCTCAAAATGAGCCTAGTTTTATCAGTAACACAAGCCCCTCCCCTGAAATCTGCTCACTGCCCATTTTCCTTTTCACTGGAAACAACATTGTAGGGTTGAAAGCTGCCCAAAGGATCAGTAAATAGTTCACATGCCAGCTTTCCCTGAGCCGTCCCATTCTACAAAAACTAGGAAGGCTCTGATGCCAGATGGGTAGATGGCGCAGCTGCCATGCCTCACCTCTTTTATCTTCCTTCATAGTTCCCATAGGTAAAAACATGATTGTGCCTTTTGAAGTTCATTAAAAGAAATGGAATTTTGTGTGGGTTGAATTTTAATCCCTCGGTCTTAAAATGGAAAATTATCTTAATTAAACAGGAGCTAATTATTTATCCCAGGGTTAACTGGCTTCTTTTGATCATTGATGGGAACCCAATTATGTCTCTGTTAGTTGTGGCCGAGTCCATTTAAAAAGTAATTTTAACAGCCCCTAACACATGTGCAAATATTTATATCGGCACTAGAGCAAAATATATTTGAATTTCAAAGAATTCACTTTAAGCAAAGCTTATCAAATAAGCTCGTTCAATTTCATTTTGGTTTGCTGTGAGTGAAATGAGTTGTTAAAACCTCTAACCTGAATATAAATGAGTTAGCCAGAATTAAGATATTCAAATGGATGGCTTCATTTTTTTGCTTTTTAGAGGATCAGAATCATGGTTAGAGTCATTAGAATTTCTACCTCTGTACTGAAAAAATAATAATCAGTTTTTCCTCTACTCTCAACGGGGGCATTGCCTTTGGCTTGATTTGTAGGAAGAATTACCCATCCAGGGAACTAGAACAGATGAACCCAATGATCCATTTGCAGTTCTATCAGCAAGTTGCTAATCCTTCTTGAACCCTAATTTTCCAGACGTGAAATGAGAAATATGCAAGCTCATATTTAAAAACATTCTACCAATCAAAGATTTTGTATATCTCTATCACTATATCTATGTGGGAAGCAGCTTTCTACTGAGTTATACCATTAGTCTGTCTAGTTCAGTATTGTCTACAGTGACTGACAGCAGCTCACCAGGTTTTCAGACAGGGGTCTCTCCCAGCCCTACTTGAAGATGTCCGGGATTGAACCTGAGACCATTTGCATGCAGAATGGCTTATTCAGCCCATATCTATCTTTCTGTTATCTATTGCGTACAAATGAAGTTAGATGAGTGAATTCAAATGATCATGCTTTTCACATGCTGGTAACAGTGGCTATGATCATGGAAGGCAGGATTACCTGAGGCTTAGTGACTAGCCTGGGGCTGCTCATACTGAGCTTTATTGACTGACTGTGGATTTGAACCCAGAGCTCCCCTGCTTATGCCAGTTCTGAATAAATTGCTGTTCTTTAAAAAAACAAATAAGCAAACAGCAATTGAGCCTACTGGATCTTGCATTTCCCCGCTTACAAGAGTAAAATATTGCCGTGGTACTTTGGACCAAACAGGCAGTGAATACTCTATTGGAAAATTCAGATTATTTGTGTTGCCATGTTGGCGTATAAATTGAAACGCAGATGTGCTTGTTGTTAGGATTGCAGCCAAAAGGTATTTTCTCCAAAATTATGTAGGAAAATGCAGTTATTATTAGCTTGTATTTTGATAAAATGGAGCTCCACTAATGACATATCAATAGAAGCCAGAAGCTTACAGTCAAATAACTGGCCACTGCATTCAAATCAATATGTGAACATTAGCTTTGCATGCTTTCGCTGCCTCTTGCTCCTCCTTGCCTCCTTAGGATTGCTACTAGGTCATAATGATGCAGGGATGGTAAGGGATGCTGCTGAATAGTCCCTTCTGCAAAGGTCTTAAAGGCAGAGGAATGCTCTCAGAGTCTAGACCAACAGGCCTGGTTCATGGACCCTTTCCTTTCTTCTGTCCCTTCCTTTATGATTCTGTTTACCCTGTATGCTAGCACTACACAGAGCCATCAATTGCTTTAGTACGTGGAAATAGGAGTCATACAGAGTAAGGGCATTTCAATGCAATTGGACATGTATAGAAGGTTTCTGTGTGTGAGGGATTTCAACATGGCCCATGCCACATACAGATCAGAGGTTTTTTTGTTTTTTTTCTTTTCTTTTCTTCCTGCCTTCAGAAAATTATTCAGTCCATACCACGATTGGAAACAGGAAAAAGAATATTTTCACAGTCTCTCTTACTTTGAGCTTTGTCCAAGGTCTGTCCTTTGAAGAACTGAATTATGTCATTTTTGTTTTCACGTTCAAATGGGGAAATATGTCTAGTTGATAACTTTCAGGTGAACTCTATAATAAATTTTGTGATAATGGCCTCGTGTCTAAAGGCATATGATGCAACAACTGTGTTGAAGCTAAGCAGGTCTGAGTCTGTTCAGTGTCTGGATGGGAGATCACCTGGAAACTCCATACGTATCACATGGGCTGCATTGTGAAACGGCAGGATATATTTTATTTCTGTAGTTGAAACATTTATATCCTGCCTTTTGGTTCAGGAAGGACTGCTCACAACCTAAATCAAGAACAAAATGCAAAACAAACAAAATAAAATAAAAAAACAGGGTCAAAGTATGAATCAGAGTCGCAAAAAGCCAAATCAACAGAGGATGACAAAACTAAATCAAACTAAAGGCACGGTGGAAGAAAAAGGGTTACAAATGATGTCTGAATGCTAATAACAGAGACAGGCCTTCTCTGTAGTGGCACCCACTCTTTAGAACACTCCCACAGTAGGGTGCCTGTGTTAAAATCAGATCTGTTTCTTCCAGGCTTTCTCTGATTAAGTTATTTGCCCATTTTAGATATTGTGTATGCCTGACATTGTTCATCGTTAATATTATTTGGATGTTCTGTATATTTTAATACTTACTTGATTATATTTTTAACATTTCAGTATTGGAATTTTATTCTGTAAACCGCTTCAAGACACTTGGCTGAGAAGCAGTTTATAAAATGATTTTAATAAATAAACAACAATTTAACTCACGCCCCCCACCCCAGGGAAAGGATTTCCATAACTTGGGCACCACTACTAAAAAGACCCTGTCTGGTGTCTCAGCCACTCAAACTTGTAGATGGGAACAGGCATTGTAAAAGGGCTCAGATTATGAATGCAGCGGGTGGATAGGTTCATGTGGAACAGGAACAGAGAACCTGTGACCTTACAGATGTTATTGGATTACAGCTTCCATCATCACTGACCATTGGCCATACTGGCTGGGGCTGATGGGAACTGGAGTCCAACAACAACTTACATGACACGGGTTCCTCATCCCTAAGGAAGGCAGAGAGGATTGATTACTGGAGTAATATGAACAGAGCTATGAACAGAGGGTACCAACTAATGTGATAAATACATTGACATGTGATAAATACATTTTGTTGAGTTACATATACATCACAGAATTTCTTACACCAGCTGATGCCTGTAAGCTAAAAGTATGAACTGTTTCCACTGGAAGGGGCCATAGTATATGACACCAATACCACAGGAGCTTGCTTGCTCTCAGGCTGATTTCAAAGTGCTGGCTTTATTTATTTCCTGCATTTATTTCCTAAAAGGCTCTCTGAATGGCTTATACAAGTCAGGTTTAACTTTAAAGCTCTGTATAGCGTAACTGAGGGGCAAACTACTCCAAAATGTACAAGTTCTATGACTGAGGTTTAGTGATGAATTTAAGATGCCACTCCAACAATGGATAGAGTGTTATCTGTTGGTTGCTGTGCTGCATTTGTGAGATTCAGTAGCACTGAAGAGCTTGGTCCATTTAGATCAGGGTTCAGCAAACTTTTTCAGCAGGGGGCCGGTCCATTGTCCCTCAGACCTTGGGGGGGGGGGGTCGACTATATATTTTTTTGGGGGGGGGGATGAACGAATTCTTATGCCCCACAAATAACCCGGAGATGCATTTTAAATAAAAGGGCACATTCTGCTCATGTAAAAACATGCTGATTCCCGAACTGTCCAGCCCCCGGGTCTTAGTTTGCCTAGCCATGATTTAGATGAGCTAATTAGACTTTAATTTTTCAATAGGCTTTTGATTTCCAAATGGGAGGAAATTTGGTTTGTGTTGCCCCTACTGTTAGAATTGTGTTGCTAATTACGTTTGTATATTTCTATGGACTTTCTGGGTGGTGACAGTGAAAATCTTCCAGTAACTAAATGAATAGATATAACATTGGGTTATATCAATTGCTAATCTTCCTGAGTGGACTCATTGAAATTGATGGGCACAACTAACTTAAGTACATTAATTTCAGTGGATCTACTTGGAATAGAACTTACTTCAATATAACCCGTTAGGTTTCAAATGAGGTGAGTTGCTGTCACCTAGGCCTGGCCTGGGAGAACAGCTTAGCAACTATACTGAAGCTAAACAGGTCTGAGTGGGTCAGTGCCCATAGAATCATAGAGCTGGAGTGACCATGTACATCAGGTGCAGGGAACCCTTCACCATACAGATGTTGCTGAACTGCAACTCTCATCAGCCCCAGCAAGCATGCCCAATGGCAAGGGATAACAGGAGTGGAAATACAGCAACATTTGGAAGGCTAGAAGTTCCCGACACCTGTTGCAGACCATCTAGTCAAACCCCCTTGCTCAGTGCAGGACATCAGTGCTAGAGCATAAATGGATAGGAGATTGTGCGAGAATCCTTTGTACGCCACTCTGAGCTCCATAGGTGGGATAGAAATGTAATGAAATATGATAGTCAAAGTACCCTTTCCCCTTGCGTTTGTACTCCCAGTGTCAACAGAAGAATAATCACAATCTTGCAGAGCTAAAGTACAGTAACTATTTCATGAGTTACTTTTCATTTCCTGTGTTACTTTTACTTCACTGTTGTGGTATTGGCAAATCCCTAATCTGCAAAGGGCATGTGGCTGCTAAAGTAGCAGCAAAGAGTCCAATTAAATGCTAAGTCAAATAAATAAGTCTTCAGACGGATTTTAAACTGGCTAAAAGACTTGCACATTCTAATAGCCAGTGGTTGAGTGAATGCAAATTTTGCAATTTAAAAGCATGATGCAAATACTTATGGTCATCCTAGTGTAGAAAAAGCTCATTGGTTTCAGTGGAGAAGCCACAGGCAATACAGAGCAATGAATAATGGCTTGAGCCCCGCATGGTTGCATACAATAATCTGTGCCAACGTAGAAAGCCAACCAGACACAAGAAATTTAGCGCTTTTCAGGCATTCACTTGCTTAACCTGAAAACAACATAACGTGGAGAAGATATTAGAGTTCCTTTTCAGAGTGTGAGTTTTTCACAGGGAGGAAATACATAAAAGAAGCATGAGTACTGGGGTCTCCCCTCACCACTGCTTTTGTGTAACATTCAAAACTGCCCTCCCTGGGGATATAGGTGAGAAAAGTAACTAGTCATCTCCCAGTCCAATCATAGACCTTCTTTGGGTTGATCAGCTGCTTCTGGGGCCCATTGCTCTGTTACAATGGAAGATGAATTTATGAGGAATTGACATTGTATTCATGTTTATGTTTTAAATGCCATGGCTGCAATCCATGATAGGTAGGAGTCATAGTGAACTCAAATCTTTCATGTATAGCATTGCACTGTGTCTTATTTTAATATTGCATCTTGTTTGACTTTATGCAAGATGCCTTGGTGCTATTTGGCAAATGGTGGGGCGTAAGTATTTTTAACTAGTGCATCTAAGAGATGCTCCTTTCAGCAGCTGCACCAACAGTGAGGTTCTTCCATCTGGAGACAAGGATAAGGTCTTCCCCCTCTTCCTTTAGGAAGCAACAATAAGATTAGGATAATGCATGCTCATCACACAAAGTAATAGACAAGCATTCCCCTTGTCATAGAATGCTTTGAGGACACATGATTCAGCAAGCTAACTGTACTGTCTCTTTTTAACAAGTGGGAAGACTCTCCCCCCCCCTCAGCTACAACTAAGCCCAGTGCCATCTAGTGACTAGACCATAAAATGGCATGATCCACTTCTAATGATAAGAGCCAATTCAGTGAAGGGAGCAGATCTGCTAAAGAGAATAGGTGGTTTGTGTTTGCACTGGAATTCTGTGCCTGCTTAGATCTACGCCTGCACGGAAGTGTTCCCTCCACTGAAATAAATGGGGGAAGTTCGTAGGTGTAGGAACTTCAAGTGTATACCATATCACATAGAGGTGGGTTGATAGATCAGAATGATGAAAATCTTCCTTCTCTCATAGCAGGGCATCAGTTCAGATTGTTTTATTCAGCAAGATGTTCCGGGTTGTGATTTTGGGTCAGAAATATATTAAGTAGTTGGCATTATACGATGAATATATTTAGGATTATAAAAGCAATTAAAATCGAAACTTTAGGAGTTCAGTAGACATGCAGAATATATGACAGACACTTCTTCATAAAGTTCAACCCCCTTTGGGTTTTAAGTCATCATTTTGCAATAAAAACCACTAAGCACTTTATCCAGTGAGATGTACTTCCTTCTTGCAAGTCCCTGGAAATATGCAGATGTTAGGTTTTAGCCACAGGAGGGCTCTCAGAAACCAATAATATTACAAGGAAAGAAGTCTGTACTTTTGAAACTAACAAAACAAAACAAAACAAAACAAAACAAAACAAAGCAAAACAAAACATGGGTAGCTCAGCTGTAATATGTGGCTGGGAGCTTTGTGGGGGAAATGTCTCTTGATCTACATAAGGAAATTTTAAAAAAGACGTAAATGCCCCATTCTGTCCATTTCTTCTCCTTTTGCCTCCACTGAATTTAGCTGCATTTTTAAAGTTAAATTATAACAACCCACATCAGACTTCTGCAACATCATCATCATCATCATCATCATTACTACTACTACTGCTACAAAATATGTAACATAGTAACAGACAAAAGCAATACCCCCAGTTTAATAATAATAATAATAATAATAATACCCAGAGATTGTTTAATTAGGCAAAGGCCTGGAAGAAGAATGTTTTTGCTTGGCACCTGAAGATATCTAGCGAAGCCACCAGGTGAGTCTCCATGGAGAAAGGATTTCACAAGCAGGGAGCCAAGCAGGGGGTGAGATTGGGGTCTGTGGATTTCTTAAAGGGCCTCCTACCTTTCCTCCCATAATTCAAGTACAGTATGCGTATATCAAAATTGACAAAGAGTCTTCTGACACCTTAAAGGTCAACATATTTATTACAGTGTAAACCTTTGGGAGTAGAAGTCTGCTTCATCAGATGCATGAAGATCCCCTCTTTTTACAAATATGCAGGCACAGCTAGACTTGCAGCATCAAAAACCACCACACAACATCATAGTGTGTGGGTGTTGCTGTGTCATTGCCAGGGATATGCTACTTTCCATCCTATCAAAAGTTCAGGTATGTTCTGTAAGTAGAAGACAAACTGGTCAAGCTCTGTGCCATAATCTCAGTTCAAGTACAATGTGCTCATGATATTGGAGTATGAGCTTTTGAATAGTTAGGATGTTTGAACAGCAATTATTGCCCCCTAGTGTCTTTCAAATTATATCTACGATGTTACTTGCTGTATTTATTTCTGGTGCGTTGTTAATAATATTACACAAAACCTACTCAAAAAAGAAAATTAAGCAGGAGACAATGAACAAGTATGTGTATTGTAATCACTTCCTTATTTAAGCATTTTGGGAGGCTGAAGTCAAGGCCTTAGTGATAAAAGTGCGCATAATCCTTATCATCATGATAGCAACACAGAAAGATGTTTGAGTTGTTCAGTATGTTGTTCAATATGCTGAAAGTCAGAGCCTCCCAATCTAACTGAGACAATATTGTGTAATCTGTTTAATTAAGTGGATTTCTCACTCTTAGCATCTAAGTAATGCTTTATTGCAAGGACATTTATTTTAATTAGATTAATTTCCATGCCCTACTTTTAGTTTCTAGTTGAGTGACATGTGGCTTTACAAAGTGATGCCCAAAGAAGTTACAGTTACCAGGATCTGCATATGCAGCCCAGTATTATGCATGTTTACTTGAGTGCTGTTGTACTCAGGTCTTGTTTGTGAGGTTCCTCTAGGCATCTGGTTGTCCACCGTGAGAACAGAATGCTGGATAAACTGGGGCCTGACTCTGATCTTATGTCCCTGTTGGATGTACTTCCAGGTAACAGTGCATAGGGCTGTAGCTGAGAAGAGTAATCTGACCCCTTATCCACCATGCTGGAGGGGACTTGATGGAACGGAGGTGTACCTCTGGTCAGCCCTGCCAAGCTCCACCTACCTTCACTGGTGGAGGCATTCCACTGTCAGCTGGAAAGCCTCACCAGCACAGAGTACGTCAGTGTGTCTGCAAAAACAGTAGGTAGAAGCTACCACTGCTGCCATCCCTGCTGGCAGTAGCCAGTGGAAAACTCTGAAACAAGGCATTTCAAGGCTGTGCTGACCAGGCCCAGGATCTTGGCCACTGGATCTTGAGGTGGCCCTGCTGTTGTCACATGATCACTGTGGGTCTGTTCAGACCTATATGCTGCACTAGCCTTAGAGCTGGCAGTAGCAAAGGGGCATATTTTCCCTGCTCCACCACTTCCACCCTGGCTAGTGCAAGTGACAGGGCTATGGATGTGGCTCTAGTTGTCCCACTCTGTCAAGTCCTGCTTCCCCAGCCAGCAGCTAAGACTGCCCACCCCCCTCACCAAATGGCAAGTGAACATATTCCATGCATGAATCCCATTCTTTTTCTCCCTACTTTCCTTTTCATGAAAGCCAGCCATGCTCTTTGAACTCCATAGATTTTTTTAAAAAAAGCAATTTGACAATTTGGTGTGAGGACCTATTAGACCAAGTAGGTGCACATGTGTTTTGCTCTTAATTTACTTTTCAAACAAAATTACACCAAAGGCACTTTTTTCTTTTTTAAATCAACTGCATTTAAATAAAGGTTTGCGTGATGTGTACATGACACACACCCCTCTGATAATGTAAGAAGCACTACATATGTTTAGCACAGACAAAATTTTAAAAGGTTCCAAATCTATATAAAACATCTGTAAAAACAAAACAAAGCAAGAAAGGATAAATGCCTCATTTTGTTAATAATGCATTCCTGAATTCAGTTGCTAAATTTTATACAGTGGTACCTCAGGTTACATACGCTTCAGGTTACAGACTCCACTAACCCAGAAGTAGTACCTCAGGTTAAGAATTTTGCTTCAGGATGAGAACGGAAATCGTGCAGCAGCGACGCGGCGGCAGCAGGAGGCCCTATTAGCTAAAGTGGTGCTTCAGGTTAAGAACAGTTTCAGGTTAAGAACAGACTTCCGGAACGAATTAAGTACTTAACCTGACCACTGTACATATAACAATATATGAATGTACTGTTCATGTTCAGGGAGCTGAGGAGGCCTGGCCTTATCTTTCACGATGGCCTTTTTAGCTACTGTTTTTGGAAGGCCAGAGGATGGCCATGATTTGGCTAAAATGGGGAGTTTGGCACTGTTGTTCTCCACTTCCAGTGACTGGTATTCAGAGGCATGTCGCCTTTGATACTGAAGAGAGCATACAGCCATTGTGACTTGGTACCCTCAGTAGCCTAATCCTCCATGGATTTGTCCAGTTTCCCTTTTAAAGCTGACATTTGTTGACATAGTTGAAGAACCAGTTTCCTTATTGGCACCTCTTCCTCTTCCATGACTGAAATTGCATTGCCTGGTTTTTGTCTTAAAAATAGCCTTATGGGCAAAAGGTTGATGCTCTTAGGAATTAAAAAAAGTTACCTTTCCCTTCTTTGGAAAAGGGTGGACAGGTGTTCAAACCAAGGAGTGTAGCGTAGAATTTGGAAGGCCACCACCCTATTCTCCCTTAGCCCAGCAGCGGGACTTGACTGACTGTGGCCTGCTAACTGTAGCCTTAGCCATCCAATCTACAATTATGTTGCCACATGATCACTCCTAAATGTAGATTACCTTATTTATTTTTTTGTGGGGAGGGTAGTAGAGCCATGTAAACATATGAAACAAACTGATGTAGCAAAGGTAAAATGTGCATGGACCTTACAGAAATGATCTGAGAAATTGGAAGACTGGTGGAGTGGAACTCTGGACACAGCTAATCCACAAAAGACTTAGAAAATGGAATGGAGGAAATTGGTCTGCCCTTCTCTTTAAATTTGATAAATTGCAATGATGTCAATGGAATCTTTTGTTCTGTTACCTTTCCAGCCTTTACTTATAAATGATGGGAAAACAGTGAAGAACTCTGATGGGATTAAGATGAACTTTCAGCATATTTACCCATCTATGCCAGAATATTACCTAAAGCCCTCCACACTAATAAATCTAAGCCCTTCTCGACAAAAAGCAACCTTTTAGAAAGGCACCTGCAAACATGCAAAGTTTGCTAGGACTGAAGTCTATTCCCCACTTTTGAAATGAACCCACCAATGAGGTAATATGGGAAGTGGATCTTGGTAATGTTTTTCTTTTCTTTTATTTTGATAATCTACTATTGAATAGTCTCCAGAGTACTGTTGTAATCTTTCTGCAGTGACGTCAGTGCAGCAAATCGCTACAGTGATTTAAAAATAGTTTGTTCTTTGACTCCCCAAACTATTGTGTGTAGGCTGGGTGGAAGGGGGAAATAGTTATATTATAAATGTAGTTTTGGGTAGAAGTGGCCATTCTTTCTGATATGCACAATGCTATTACTATACAGTATAACTCTACTAGACTGATAATAATATAATAAGTTAATTAACAAAAATAACAAAGATAGTGCATAGCGTACAATGTATGATCTTATGCACCCTTCCTGAGAAAGCATTTTTTCTTTGAATGTGTGTGTAACTGATGTTGCTTTGAAAATTTATATGTTAATATAAAATAACTAGTTCTTAACAACCAGAAACAATGGCTTCATCTTGGCTTTATTCTGCTATTACACCCTGGTGACTGGATTTTATGGACGTGCTGCTGCTCAAAATTGTCATATGAATGCTGTTTTCTGAAATGAGTGTAAAATGCTTTGGGGGGGGCATTTAATTAGCCGTTCAATTTGAAATATTATAGGTTAAGCTGTGTGCCTTTTGAATATTTCTGCTTAATTTTGTGTAATTTAACTGTACTATATACAGAAAGCTGTTTTATTATTTCTTACAAAATGTTGTGTTTTACCCAAACTGATATGAACTATATCACTAAGTTATACCATGACTGATCTTACTATTTTTAATGGAATACCAATGGTTTAGGGACAGCCAACATAACTTGCTAGGGCAGGTACTTCAAATACACATGAAGTGAGTAAGCCAGAGACTTGATTTTGAAATATTTTAAGGCATTCAAATGAATGCTACATTTTTATTAAAGGGTTATTCAGTGGAGAATTTTATATGTTCCATTTCATATTTGCCCCTCTCAGTGCTTATTAGTTGTAATTACTTTTTAATGATTTATCTTTCTTTAGTGAAGGAAAAACAATTATAGGATTTAAATATTATTAATAACCAATTTGATAAGAAAAAATGAACACGATAAAAATATATTGATCTCTGAGTCCAGATTACAGCTGTTGACTTAGTTTCTAGCATGAATTGCTGTTCTTCCCAAATTCCTGTTCTTCTTCTATTTTGGGCAATAATAAATGCAACAAGCGCTGATCAGTATGTTTACTACATGTAAACAACACTCTGTAGGACAGTATAATATTTCAAGTTTGTCAGGTTGTCTACTGATTTGAAGGTTGTGGTTTTTTTACATAGCATTTTGTAAAAAACCGAGGCAGAACTCAATTTTACACGAGATCTCAAACTTCTATCAGACTTTGGCTCTTTCTTTCCGGTTCCTGTAGCTTAGCACAGCACTTAGGATTCTGCCACACGATGCATTTGCCTACCTGCTCGTCATTGGCTGGTGGGTGGATGGCCATGCATCGTGCCATGCATGGTGTTACATCATTGAGGATGGATCCAGACTTCGCTTCTGTGGGTGAGATCATCGCCTAAGTAGAGTTCCATTCAGGGAATTCTCCCTCCGGCGATTGTAGGAGATGACCTTTGCTGATTTGCCCTGCCACCTCCCATGCACCCTCCCATACTGTTCTGGAGGATGCAGGGGGATGGGACCCTCCAGAACAATATGGGAGGTGGTGCAGGGGGTTGCAGGGAGAGATGGGAAATCAGGAGAAGTTGCCTCCCAGGCATGATCTCTCTACATCTACAGAAGTCTAGATCCCCACCCATTGTGAAGAGGAGAGCAAGTAACCTTTGATGCCTGATTCAGCTGTCAAGCAGCTTCCAACAACTCATGTATAATAGGAAACATTTTTGCCATAAATGAATAAATGCTCTGAAGTACTGGTACTTCTGTCTGATCCTCAGGAGATTTTCTCCATGAGGTGACCCTGCTGTGAGCTTTGTTTGCGGCTCCTTTAAGTAGTAAATACTATGGATGTATATCAACTTTGTTTGTACCTCAAATGATGAAGTGAATTGGGATGATTTGGGGAAAACTCAATTTCTGAGTTGGATTGTGCTTGTTAATAAGGCACCTTGTGGTAGATTAGGGATTCCCTAAGCTTCTAAGTGTCTATGTGGCTTTAGCAGACCAAAGAAAAATATGGCCATTTCCCTCCACATGCACACAACTCAAAGAAACAAAACCAAGCTGACTTGAAAAACACCCAGAGCTTGGAAGGGAGGGGTTGAGGAATCTTTATCTTTGACATACATTTCTAGTTTTTCTTCAGTCAATTATTTCCCCAGGTTACTCCAATCCCAGTGATTTGGGAGAGGGACTAAAAAATGTGTTTGGTTTTTTAGTTGATCTATGCCTTCCCCTATGCAAGTCAATTGTATTCCCCCAAACTGGGGACATGACAGAACAGAAGCCTCCCCAGAACCTAGTGGTGCTACCACCACCAAGTTTACTAAATATTCACAACTGGGTGCAAGATTGTCTATCAGCTAATCAACATGAAAATACAGTAGTACCTCAGGTTACATACACTTCAGGTTACAGACTCCGCTAACCCAGAAATAGTGCTTCAGGTTAAGAACTTTGCTTCAGGATAAGAACAGAAATTGTGCTCTGGCAGCGCGGCGGCAGCAGGAGGCCCCATTAGCTAAAGTGGTGCTTCAGGTTAAGAACAGTTTCAGGTTAAGAACGGACCTCTGGAACGAATTAAGTACTTAACCCGAGGTACCACTGTATACCTGAAATTTCTAGAAAGTAATACTTTGTTTTCTTCTTCTTTTTTTAGCGTCTTGTTGAAGCTGCTGAAGATGCTCATTTGAAACATGAATTTGATGCTGATTTACAGGTAGGAAAAAATATATCTTTTTGAGGTTAGTATGTTGAGTCCAAACATTCTGTTGTGGAAAGAGCCACCATTCATGGAAGAAGAGATCTGCTCACAGATGGACCTTTTTTCTATGTGCGGAAGATAGACCTTCTTCTGCTCATGGTGTAGAACCCTTGGATACAACTAATGGTCATCTGAAAATACAGTATCATAAAAGGCCTAGTGCCTTTATGCAATGAAGATGACTTAGTTATTTCGTAGGCTCATACTTTCATTGTTTATGACAAGATATGGCTGAATTTTTCAGCAATGTAATCAAAATTTCCATCTTTGGGCAAGACTTCAAACTCTGGAACCAGAAGCATGAGGTCTAGTTGCAGTGTACAGTTATGGTATCTTGTTTTGGGGGGACTCACTTCTTTGCTGGAATTACACTTTTCTGTTCAGGCAGAAATGGTTTTATTTGTTTTTACAATTGCAATTCTTTTATCTCTTATTATAATGTGTATTATATTGCCCTGGGACCTTATTTTTTTTTTTTTTTTACATTTTTAATGTATTTTATTTTTTAAAAAGAAAAAAAGCCCCACAAAATCATGACATTCAAGTTGGTTATTGAATTTTCCTGTCACAGTCTGTGTTTCTGGGAATTAACAGAAATTGTTTATTATTAATTTAAACCACACACCAGAAATGAGACTAAAAATCAGGCTGGAGAGTGACAAAGAATAATCTGCAGGGGACTTCATCAAAACAAAGTATGAGCAGCCCTGACTGGGGTAAAGGGAGTTATCAGGGAAGGACCCTGAGCACCTGGATGTAGAAGATCAACGAATAGTTTTGACTGGGCTCTTAAAATTGCTGGCGGCCTGAAGCTGCAGCTGGTAAGCCATAGGGTGGATCTTGAATCCGTAAAGTCTGGGCACAAATTGGTTAGCAGGTCGTTTCGGCCGATACTCCGGGTGCACCATAAACAACATGTGGGGGAAGCCTGTCCCAAAATAGGCCCCATCTGTGTGATGGTGGTGGGAAGATTTGGGGGTGTAGACATCCATGCACTTAGGGCAGTAAAGTTTAACCATGGCCTCTCCTGGGATATCAGATAAGCCAATGGGCAGCATGGGCTGGTTCTCACAATAAACTCGGGGGCAGTAACCAAAGTCTCCTTGCTGGTATTTCTCAAGCATTTGAGCAATTCCACGGTTTGTGAGGATGTAGCGGGCATGGATGAGGCCGTAGAGCATTTCAGCTGCCTGTTCAATCAAGTCACTCTGGTTAGGGTTGTCCTCAAGCTCCTCATCTGGTTCCAAATCAAGGATCATATCCAAGGCCTGGCGATAGTGGGGAACTTGCTCATTGAGGCCAGTCAGGTTGAACTTGTCTTGGATGTAATCTTCATCTACCTCACAGAAGAACTCATTGCCACGCAAGCCACAGAACCAGGAAATCCAGGACACTTCCTCAGAGCTACTCATCTTCCCGTCCTCTCAGGGGGCTCAATTGCCTCAAGGAGAGGAACACGGGGTGCAAACAAGCTTTGGACCGCTAAGGCCTCTGCCAGTTTCCACCGCGCACGCGCCACTCTCACTGATGAAAGAGCATCACCGCCCTGGGACCTTATGGTGAAGGGCAGACAAGAAAACTATAAATAAAATCTACTGGCAAGAAATTGCTTTTTAGGAAATTTAACCTACAGAGATGGGATTAGAGACGTGATGTTGCTCTTTGAAAAAGCGTTGAACATGTTTAGATAGCCACTACTTAAACTGGGTCTAAAAGGCAGGGCAAGGCAGTAATCCAAATGCTCTTTCATTTACTTGCATACAATACATTTTGGACTAATGCGTAGCAAGTAGCCCATGAAGACTTCACATGAAACTTAAGGTAGAAATAACAGTCCAATGGCTCGTTCCAATTACATTCCAGTGTAAAGGTCCCCTTCCCATTGGAATCATAGCAAATATCTCAGCTCTCTTGAACTGTCTGGATTCATATTTTGATGAAATGGAGATGTGTATCCATAACCAAGACCAGCACTTATCATGTTGATTAGCTTATATAGTAGTGAGCACTTGAAAACTGAAGCTGGGAAAAAAAATCCATTACTTCGCTTTTCAGTAAAGGTCTAATGTACTGTCAATCTACATTACATGTTGTGCAGTGTTAAAACCGAACCCCAAAGGTAAAAAATACAGAGAGCTGGTTTTAAGGAGCTATGGAAACTTTGGTGTTTCTGTACAATTAGAAACAATATTAATCAATGGAATATTTGAAAACCCTTCTAAAATCACACAGGAAAAGGCTATTGTGCTTATGCCCTGTTTGCAGGCTTCCCATAGACATCTAGTTGTCCACTGTGAGAACAGTATGCTAGACTAGATCAGCCTGTGGTCTCATCTTCTTATGTTTTTAAATGAATAGGATCTCTGACTTTGCAAACCTATCATATTTCCTTTTCCCTATATCCACAAGAAGCCAGATCTATTGCCTGAATAAACCACCTGCACATTTATAGAACCCATTATTAAAGATGCCTTATCACCACAGTTCATCCTCATTCCTTAAATCCTTAGGTTTGGGGAAATGTTGATGATCTTAGCACTTTTAGGTTAAAAGCCATTTGTGTTGGCAGCATGAGCCGCAGAGCCTAATCTTTGACAAGGCCTTTTGTTGTTTATTGTTGCCATGGTCCATTACAACTAATCAATTGTTAATCTTGGTTTCAGTGACCTCTCTGCAACCCTTGAAGGGAGATGGTTGTTCTTTATTTAACAAAAGGAAATCTCGTAATACCATCTGCTCAGTATAAAACAATGACCAGGTTGAGAGTGAAAGCAAGGCGAAGAGGACATTGTTCTTTCAGCAATTTTCCTTTGGAATGGGGAAATTTGTAAGAACCATTAGTGCTTTCTAGTAAGCAGGAAAGACTGTATTAGTCGTATTCGGATGAGCTTGATTTAGTATTATAACACTCTGGGAACTGTTTCATGGGTCCTCTCAGTGGTTTCACATGAAATCCTTAAAGCACAGTTAAAAGCGTCGGGATCAGTAACAGCAAGACAATTTAGAAAGGCAGCCAAATACAAAGAGAGAGAGAAACTTAAACGTATCAAAGTGGAACCAAAAGGTTTTTGCCATCTTCCTTGGCAGAAAGCAACTCAGCGAAAAGCAGCTGCATGGCTGCTTTGATGGGCTGCCTGCACTGCAGGGTCTAATTGAACTCTAGCGGCACAAGAGTTGTTGTATTCAGTTGTGTGTCTCCATTCACAGAAGGTTCTTCCAAGTAATACAGTGCTGGTAAGCCCTATCTTCACCCAGATGTTCATTCAGATACATGTCTGAGTGTTCCTCTGACTTACACTATAGCCTGAGATCCAGGAAGTGATGTGTGTGTTTTATGGTGCTCACTTGCATGGTTTTCATCCTTATAAAAATGGCCTCATGATCCTCTTTCAGGACCCTCTGCAGATGTTACACCACTTTCATTGATAGCCCATGAATGTAACTAAATATGCGCTGATAAAGAGGAAATCATGTAATATTACTACTTTTTGTCTATTGTGAAATACCAAATTCAGAAAACAGCAAGCAGCTTGTTCACCATGTCCCGAGCCATCCCTCTCGGTCCCATCTTGTACATTTATCCCCCATATTGTTTTTGCTTCATATAGGTAAAGGCAAAGGACCCCTGACAGTTAAGTCCAGTCGCAAATGACTCTGGGGTTGCAGCGCTCATCTCACTTTACTGGCTGAGGGAGCCGGCGTTTGTCCACAGACAGTTTTTCCGGGTCATGTGGCCAGCATGACTAAGCTGCTTCTGACAAAACCAGAGCAGTGCACTGAAACGCCATTTACCTTCCCGCCAGAGCAGTACCTATTTATCTACTTGCACTTTTACGGGCTTTTGAACTGCTAGGTTGGCAGGAGCCGAGACCGAGCAATGGGAGCTCACACCGTCATGGGAATTCAAACCACGACCTTTCAGTCGGCAAGCCCAAGGCTCAGTGGTTTACACCACAGCGCCACCTGCGTCCCTTGCTTCATATAATTTCTATGCAATAAAATGTGAGTGCAGCATTATTATGGTCCTTGACACTGGACCTATTTGAATTAATCACAGGAATCTATAGCGAGGGGCATAAATAAAGCTGCCTGTTATTTTAAAGAAATAAATCATAATAGGGGATAGGACTGTCAATCTCACTAAAATCAAATACCATGTGCTTGATGAATGGGAGAGCATAACCTCAAGCATATCTGGATTTAAAGCTTTCACTGGCTGCATTCGGCCTTGACAGAATTTCTGCAAGGTCTAAGGGTCATGGGCACTAATAGTAATATCCCGGTAGCAGCTGAACTTTCCAAACATTCATGCTTCTAATGGCTGGATCATTGTTGCTTTTCTGTCAATTTCAGGTATTTTTCTAGGAAGCCAGGCTAGTGCCTTAACATCTGAGTAGATTTGTAGTAGTGAAAGGGTAGAGTGCATCAGTTTCAACGAGAAGATCTGCAGCCTGCCCAACAGCATGGATGGCCCTCTGTGGGTGTAGCTCAAGAGAGATCATTTGTGGCTTTTAAAAATTAAATCTACCAGCAGATAATCCTACCTATCGCGTGAATTATCTTAAACTCAAGTGCGCAAGTAAATTCCAGAGATGTGATGTGATGTGATGTTGTTATGTTATGTTATGTTATGTTGTTGTTGTTATGTTATGTTTTATGTTATGTTATGTTATGTTATGTTATGTTATGTTATGTTATGTTATGTTATGTTATGTTATGTTATGATGTTATTTCTTTATTGCATTTGCTACCCACCAGTTAATACAGGTATTGTACAACAATACAAATAAAAGAACCCCACCACATAATACCACACAATACAGTACATACATATTGATATATAGGGGGATAATAAAAATTATAGTTCCCCTGTCAAAGGCCAAAGAGAAGAGGAATCTTCAATTATTGCCTACTGTAAAGTGATGCTGCCTTACATACTTCTGTGGTGAGGTAGTTCCACCAGTTTTTTTGGGGGGGGGCATTAGGGAGAAAGCTCTGTCAACATACAATCCAAAATATGCTTTTCTTTGCCTCACCGTGAAAGTATGATTTTCTTGCTTTTCTTTGTGAACTAGAATCATCATTATCATTTAACACTTACAAGATGCCTAACATTTTCTAAGTTGCGTACATATATTTAAAAAACAAGACAACTGCTGCCCACAGGATCTCCATCTAATAGACATGATACAAAAGGGAAGAGGAAAGCAAGCAGATTTCTGCATGTCTGTCAGTGAACACTGGAAATTTGCTCCCAGGTGCGGCTTCTGATTGGTTGCAAGAGCTTCTTGCACTCAAGCGGAATCCGCATTGGATGTTCGAGTTCCGAGGAATGTTTGAAAACCAGAACACTTCTGGGTTTTTGGCGTTCGGGAACTGAAACGTTCGGCAACGGAGCTGTTCGAGTTCCGAGGTTTGACTGTATTAAACAAACAGGAGAGCATCCATTATGTGCTCCTGCAAGGAGGTTGTCTACCTGTTATTGTAAGACTAGCATTCAGGTTTGCATTGTTAGGAACCAGAAGCTAACTTAGGAAAGATATATCTCCATAAAGATCTTTGAAGTACAGCCTGCTTTCTTTCAGAAACCCCCAAACCTTCATCAGTTATTTGACCATAGCCCTGTGAATTCTGTGTTCTTTGCCTTAATAGCAATTGCAGACAGCTAGCCAGCAGGTTGCTTTGACAGCATAAACAGACAGCGTTCCAGATACGATGTTTCTTAAAAGACACCTTTTTAACTGATTCAGAAATTGCATTAATGCTTCCAGTTCTGCCATCCTGTAATGCCAAAGCAAGATCTAATTACAGTATTTTTCACTCTATAGGATGCACCGGACCACAAGACGCACCTAGGTTTAGAGGGGGAGAACAAGAAAAAAAACCTCTCCCTCTCTGCGCAGCGCCCCTTCAGCGAAGCGGCAAGAGAAATGGAGCCCCTTCCCTGTGCAGTGCCTCTCCAGCGAAGACAGGAGAGCAAGAGGAATCAGTGTGCACTGATCCCTCTTGCTCTCCTGGCTTCAGTGGCTTTGTGTTGCTTTCACTGAAGCCATGGAGCCTGCATTCACTCCATAAGACGCACACACATTTCCCCTTAATTTTTGGAGGGAAAAAAGTACGTCTTATAGAGTGAAAAACACGGTATATGGAGAGGTTCTGAAATCTGTTTGCTGAGCACTTTGTGAATACTACAAACGTTAGATAGCTCAGTTGGTTAAAGCATAGTACTAACAATGCCAAGGTTGCAAGTTCGATCCCTGTAAGGGACAACTGCATATTCCTGCATTGCAGGGGGTTGGACTAGATGATCCTCAGGATACCTATCATTGTATGAGATGTCTGTTTTTTCCCTATGATGAAGAGGCAATAACTATCATTGCATCTTGACTGGTATGCAGTAAACTTGATTTCT